AAATTTTTTTTTTAATTATTATATATTTATTTATTATTATATTTGTTACAATGTATGGCGTGATGACTGCCCTTTACATATTTTCTTATATACTATTAAATATTAAATATCTTAACTGCTTATTTAGCTAACATTTTAATTAATTTATAAACTGCACTTTTGAATTTTAACTTTCAATGAAATAAATTTATCTGCTGCTGTAACAATGTTTATAGACTCTCTTAAGGAGTAAAAAAATCACTGCCCTTTGGACATCATTCACCTGCTGACTATTGCATACGAATTTTTAATTATTATATTTTAGGTAAAGCTTTTAGAAGAAATAAAGTATTTTTTTTGGAAAAAAATTTGACCATACTATAATTTTTCTATTTTTCATGGCTGACAATACTTAAACGGGGCCGCGATTCTACACAACTGCCAAAAAAAATATTGTTACAATTTTCTGACCTTATAATATAACTAGAATTGTTTTTTTTTTTAATGCTTTAAGGTAGTACCCTCGCGACATATAGTGCGAGTAAATTTAGGTATAGTTTAGGATATTTTTGTCTTTCTCACTTGCTATTCCTTACTCACTTCTACTCATAGTTATTTTTGAATAATAGTTATTTTTTAATAATATTTAAAAATCTAGATGGTAAAAATCAATGAAAGTTTGAAAAAAACAAATAATAGCTGTTTTTTAATAGTAGTTTAGTTTTTTATGAAAATCTTAAAAAAAGTTTCTTAGTTATAATAAAATATACGAGTAAAATTTTCGGTATCCCGTATATCACAGTGCATAACCTCCTCTAAAAATTCGAACTTTGAAATTAAATATCTCTGAAACTAGATGGTCAAAAAATTTCAATTTGCGTCAATCGATGCAGAATTATATAAATATTAATCTGCCAAAATTTAAAAAAATTCCTAAGAAAACGCCTCTGGCGAGGGTACTACCTTATTAAATGAAAAAATTGAGACATAACTAGAGTATCTCTGAAACATTTCATTAGTGGATCAAATTAATGAAGTAAACAATTAAATTAACTGGCTCTGATGATTATTATTATTACTCCGAACATATGCTATATATTCAACAAATATTAATAACTAATAGAAGAATCGCTATTGAGTCAACGTATAACATTTTAACAAAGATAAGAATTTTGTAAATATTTATTTTTCTACTTAAAAATTTTTGTTTTACTGATACAGAAAATTTTAACGCTAAGTTTAACAATAGTAAAATTTTACCACTTACTGAATAAAGAGAAATCAAGATTATTCTTGAATTTTGTATTTTTTCACAATGCCCGGTCATCGGTCAACACCTGGATAGTACATAAAAGTAAGTTAATTTTTTTTATTATACCTTTTCTTACACTTAAACTTTTATTCCCTCAAATTTGGCACCTTTTATTCGACACTAAGAGGTCGATTTATTGTGCGTTAAAGTTCTAGGAGGGTGGATTTTCAAGTCAGTTCTCACTTGAATTTTTATTTTTATACCACTTAAAGTTACTTGAGGTCATTTTTTGATAAGTGATATTATGCAAGTGTGCATAAAAGAACTTTTTAATGTTGAAATCCAGCTAAGTGTCAAATGACATCCTGAATCGTTTGTTAACATAATTCATTAAATAAATCTTAAATATCTCTTATACTCTGTATAATATTCTATAAGTTATTTAAATTAAATTAATATATGTGTAAATTAGATGATTAAAGCTAAATTCACAGGGTCAACAGACGAGAAGTATCTATGCATGAGCAAAACTGAGACCTAAGACCGAAAGAGCAACTTTGATATCAAGACTACCACAATCTTAGTCTTGCTCTTACTTTGATCATCACTTGAGTTGACTTGAGTATCAAGTTACTCTCCGTAATACAATCTACATTTTACAAACTATTTACAATTAAAATCCTGCAAGGATACAAAAGGATATAACATACTATTAATTAAGTAATTCAATTGGATGTTAGGAAACATCTTATTTTTGTATCTCTTCAAGTTTTAAAGTTTGTTGAATTCATTTAAATAATTTCAGTCCTTTTTTAATTGAAAGGTGAAAATTGATCTGCTTTTTCTGAAGGCAGGAAATAACTTCGTTCTATTAATTGTAGCAATTTCTTAATAGATTTTACACTAAAACAAAAAAGTTTATTGTAGTAATCCATTTCTTTAGTTTTATAATTTATTCAAGTTATAACTATACTCTTTACAATATTCGAATGAAGTTAATTAAATCTCACAATAAATAATCAATCCCGTAGAATATAGTTATCAGTAAATGATACAATAGATAGTTCGTGTATAAATAATAATATCAAGATAGTACTTCGCGATTACAATAATACGATAAGTAACATAAAGGAAAATAGGACCAGTGTCCTAGACCGTAGATGTGTGTGTCTCAGAGGCTGAGGAAAATCTGCCTCATGCCCCTTGACTCTTGAGGGTGTTAGCCTTTGCTAACACTTAGCGTTGTTCTTGGGGTCCCGTGACGTCATGGGCCCCTTGAATGCCGGGGAAGGGATTTTATGGCCCAAAGAGTACAGTGGTTGACGAAAAGTTTCGAGAGTGGAAAAATACTCCCACTTTATAATTTATATATTTGTTTAATTAATTTAAAAAAGTATAAAAAATTAAAAATTTCGGACATATTACAATTTTTTAGATTTTTATGACAATAAATCTATAATGAAAAAAATTTAACAAAAAAGTTCCATTTTTAGAAATTTTAAAAAATTAATAATTGCAAATTATTAAAAATATTTTTTTTTTATAATTGATTTGCTATAAAAATTTCAATAATTATTAGATGTCTACTTGTTGGAATATGCGTCATTATTTAGACGGCAGAGTTCAAAATTAATCCGTAGTATCGAATATTGTTTCGAGGAATAGATGTTTATATGATATACAAGATATTTTCTATATGTTTATAGACTTAAGTATATAATAATAAGTTAATTATAAGTCTTATTATTAATATTAATTTATTAATAGTGTGACTGAAAGATCGTTACACTTTTTCGGTTAAGTTTGAATCAATTGGTTACAAGAGCGCTCCTTGTAAAGATATTCCTTTCGAGTCATAATTTTAATAAAGGTATTATATTTGATTAAATAAATTTCTTTATCTATTTAAATAATATACCCATAATCTAATATTACTAATTTTAGTATCATTTAAAATTTTCAAAATTTTTTCAAAAGAAAACACTCTTTAAGAATATTAATATTCGTAAAAGTCATTACCAACAAGATTTATCGATATTTTACATCAAATCGGCATATTTATTATTTTAAAATGTACGAAACAAATAAAGTGTTGGATTTAACTTTTAAATGATACTTAATTTCTTAATCCATCACTTTACCCATAAAAATGCTACCGTTCGCAACTTATCTTTGATTGTAAAACTATTTGCTGCTATGTAAACAAAGCTTAACAGCAGCTTTATTTAGAAACTATGCTAAATATTTTAGCTAAGCTATTAATTATCAACAAAATCTTGAAGGTGACAGGTTCATGGATCACGATTGTTGGTTGTTGTAAGCCGCGAAATACCAACCTCAAGCATGACGTAATAATTAATATTGTATACTTGTTCTAAAGTTAATTTTAAAAAACACTGTAACTTTGTAAGACCACTTGTAGACAGTAGGTTGTTCAGACACTTTGTATGATAAATAGCATTTCGTTAACCGCATTTTACGATCATAGTTCGTAGTAAACTTTCATAATAAACCAAAAAATCCAACATAATTTATGTAGTCGGGTTTGTTTAGCTTTTAACGGAAATAAATCTATTTCTCTCAGAAAATGCAATAAATATTTATCAAACTAATATTTTATAACGTTTACTTGACGGCTACTAAATTATCTATAATCGTAGCTTTACAAACAATTAAACTATTAAATCTCTCTATAAATTTTCGAGAAGAAAGTGTTGTCTTATCAATTAGAAGCAAGAGGTTAAAAATGTATGAAAAAACTATACATTACACTAGGAGAAAAAAATTCTTTAAAAAAAAATAGCAATATTCTAATAAGAACTTAAATTGTTATAAATTTTAAGGGAGTATTCTGGTCTAGAAATTTGAAAAAATTGATTTTTTTTTAATATTTATTAGCTAGCTTTTTGAATTTTGAATTTTTTTCTGTATTCTTGAAATATTAATAAATATTTTATAAAAAAATAAATAGTAATAATATTGATTACCTTTTTTTACGGCACTTTAAAAATTACCTTAAATAATTTTATTTCATAGCTGAAGAAATCAAAAGTTTTCTCACAGTAACTTTCTTATTAAAAAAAAACAATTTTCGATGGATCACTTGCGAATTTTCATCCAAAATTGTTTTTTCACAAATCTAGAAAACTTTTTTTCAGCAAGAAAGTTACTGACAGAAAAATTTTCATTTCTTCACTTGAGAAATAAAATTGTTTAAAATTTTCAAAGAATTAATTTCTTGTCACAATAATGTTTTTTTTTTTTTTTTTTTTAAAAATTTTTTCTTTCAGTGCACAGAATTATTATTCATTAATTGAAACATAAAGAATAATTGAAAGGATAACGTAGAAACGAACACAAATATATTTTCGAAAAAATCGAACAGAATTACTGAGATTATTTATTGAAATTAATAGTTACAATAATTTATAAGATAAATGATTATTTGTGAACGTTAAATGTCCCAGTAGCAATGACGGACGAATTAACTCCCTCGAGCACATATCCTGTATGTTAGACAACAACAACGTGTTGCTACATTAGCATAATATTTGATATAACTATAACATTAATTATTACACATGGGAGAATGATAGTGACAGAAGGTTATAATGATGAGTCTTGTCAAGGAATTATTAGCATCGAACCACGTGTAGTATATAAAGGTACAGTCAGCTACGTTTTCAGCAGCATTATCATGCCAATCATACGGTCACCAGAAGTTGATTCGCGTGTTGATAATTTGTAAGTGTCAAAGATAAATTAAATTTTATTTTATCATCACTAAGTTACGATGCAGCCGCTGAAACGAAAAAATTATTTATGTAAAATTTAATCATAGAAAATAGAATTCATAAAATATTATCAATTGTTATTATTTTTATTCTTCATCTAATTAAAAACTAAAGTTTTAAAACTTCAGTATTATTTTTCCGACCTATTAAATTTTTTTTTCTTAAAATTTTTTATTGAGTCCCTTTCAATAACAGATATTTATGTAACTTGTCCACAAAGAAGTATATGGCGATTGGCAACCTGTCGCAAAATTGTGAGACTAGTCTGAGGTTGTGGCACGTGCTTATAAAAACCCGGATGAAGTTTAACGTGTGAGCCAAAGGCGAGTACATTAGTCACACGACTCTTGTAACAAAGCTGCAGGTGTGTATTGTAAAGTCGCCTCTTTACGGATCACTGCTTTATGAAGAAGTTTTCTGAAATGTCTTTAATTATGATTGTTTAGAATATCTAATTGAACCGACCTACACGTTTTATAACATCAATTATAAGCAACAATTTAATATAATTTAAAATTAAAAAGTCTTATTTGAAAAAATAAATAATAATAATAATAAATAATAATAATAATAATAATAATAATAAATAAATAAAAAGTACACTGAAAAAAAATTAACTTGATTCGAGAGAAAAATTCTTGAACCAAGAAAAGAATTTTAAAGAGGGTAATTTTCCAGAATCAAGGCAAAAAAATCTTGAATCGAGTAAAATTTACTTAAACCAAGTAAAAATTTCTTAGTTTAAGAATTCTTTTACTTAAGGTAGTACCTCCACGAAAAGCAACTTCAAAAAACTTATGGAATTTTTTTTATCCAAAGATAAATATATTAATAATTCACCACCGAAATTTCAGATCAATTGACCGCACCGTTTTTGGGTAATTAATTTTCGAAATTGCATCTTTTACACACAGAGGTATAGAGAGATGGTAAAGTTAGTCTGAAATTATCCGTACCACTCGAGTGATGCAAATAGATTTCATACTAACTTTACCATCTCTCTATACCTCTGTGTGTAAAAGATGCAATTTTGAAAATTAATTACTCAAAAACGGTGCGGTCAATTGATCTGAAATTTCGGTGGTGAATTGTTAATATATTTATCTTTCGATAAAAAAAATTCTATAAGTTTCTTGAAATATGCTTTTCGTGGAGGTACTACCTTAAATCAAGAAGATGAAGTTCTTCAAAATTATATACTTGATTCAAGAAAATTTTTTATTCTGTGTAGAATGCTTAAAAAGACAATCTGTAATTACTAAAAAAATTTCCCAATTTATCACTGAGATATAATGAAACTTACGTTCTGCTGGTGCAGGGGCAGCTTCAGGAGCCGCTGGTGCCGGAGCATCCGCAGGTGGTGCCGCTGGGGTTTCTGCTGGAGGAGCACCTTCTGCTGGAGGAGCTCCTTCAGCTGGTGGTGGTGCTGGAGCGCCTTCCGCTGGAGGCGCACCTTCTGCTGGTGCAGCTCCTGTTGATAATTTTAGTTGAGCAATACATTTTTTTAATATGATGGAAGTAATGTATAATACAATAAATTGCATTGAAAATAACAGAATGTACCTTCAGCTGGTGCAGCTGGAGCGGCACCATCAGCAGGTGCTCCTTCGGCTGGTGGTGCAGCACCTTCTGCTGGTGGCGCTGTTCCATCAGCTGGTGGTGCTGCTCCATCCGCTGGTGGTGCTGCTCCGTCTGCTGGTGGTGCAGCGCCTTCTGCTGGCGGCGCTGCTCCATCAGCTGGTGGTGCTGCTCCATCCACTGGTGGCGCGGCTCCTTCCGCTGGAGGTGCTGGTGCTGCACCTTCAGTTCCTTCTATTAAGAGCAGGAAATATTAAATATTGAATAGATCAAATTAATGAAAATGATAGAAGATGAGTGGTTCGGGAAAAAATGATCAGACCTGATCATACATAAACAGGCATCGTATCTGAACATTATTTCCCGGGGGACGATATTAAATAGCAACGTGTTCTTCAGGATTTTAGAAAAAATTTTTGAAAGTGTATTTTTATTATATAGACAATTCTGAACCCAAATTATGAGTTACACAATTTACTAATTAAAACGTCGATATGTTAAAAAGTAAATATCTTGAATGGAGACTTTATTGCTTTTCATTCAAGAATTACATTACTTTTTGATTCAAGAGTTGATTTCTTGAATTAAAAAAACTAAATATCTTAAATAAGTGAAAGTCTGAACAAAATATTTTCTTTAAATCAAGTATAGTTTTTTTTTTCATTGCGGCCCAACAAATGTTAGATAAAATTTTTGTTGTGATACATAAATCCACTGTCTAACACTTGGACTGATAAAAAAGTTGACTCAAAAGAAAAAAATCTTAAATCAAGAAAAACATTTTGAAAAAAATGACCCTACAAAAAAAATTTTGGTTCATAATGAATTTCCGGATGAACTTCAGATTGTGAAACAAATAAGAATTTCATGATGAATTTCATAATGAATTTCATCATGAACTTCAGCTGGAATTCAACCTGTAATAATTTATAATGAATGTCAAAATTTAATTTAGCATATTGTGTACTTTTACTCCAAAAAATTTATCCAAACAGAAGTTTAAAAATCGTAAATGTTGAGTCAGTGTAAATAAAAATAAAAATTCCAATATAATTAATTCCGAATATGTTTTTACAGATTAAAAAAATTAAGTTTTCTATGCGATCTGTTTTAAATTCATTATGAAATTCAGCTAGAGTTCACCCTGAAATTCATTATGGATTTCGAAATATTGATTCACATCTTGTCTAAATTTGCGCTTAAAAATTCATTCAATAATAGCTGTCAAATTTTGACTTTTGAGACTGTTGAGTCAGTGTCAATTGAAAAAAATATTTTACGACCATCGACTCTAATGATTTGTTTTACTAGTTTTCTATATAATTCGTTCCAAGTTCAGCATGAACTTCAACTGAAATTCACGATGAGATTCATTATAAAATTCATATTTGTTTCGCGAGTTTCTTGAGCCAAAAAAAAAAATTCTCAATCCAAGAAATTATTCTTGGTTTAAGTAAATTTTGTTTGTTTCAAAAATTGTTCTCTTAAATCAAAAGTTAACTTTTTTATGTGTGCAAATGCAGTTGCATTCATATCAAGCGATATCTATAAGATTATATCTTAACGCTCAGAAAGGAGTGGAAAATAAACAATTATAGTAAATACTTGTTGATTAAATTAAGAGTTTAGTTATTAAAATATTGTGACTGAGGTGGATGTCATTACCTGCAGGAGGGACAGCTCCATCTGCGGGTGGTGCGGGCGAAGGTGCGGCTTCAGCGGGCGATGGAGCAGCAGGAGGTATTTCTGCCGGAGGTACTGGTGATGGTGCCGGTGTCACTGCGGGAGTCGATGTTACGGTTGAGGGTTCTGTTGATGACGGTTCGGGTGAGGGTGTTGGCGGAGCAACCTCTGGTGTTGGGGGGGCCGGTTCCGGTGGAGGTTCCACCTTCAAAAGTTTTATAAATGTTTTATGCATTACAATTCTTTGTACTGTATTTATAATTTTACCAAATCATCTTCACTCGATTAGTTCACTCATTTTATTTATGCTTATCCACAATGTTAACATCAACTTGATAGTTTATGAAAGTCTATAAAATACCGTGTTGTATCAAAGCTTTTCGAATTATCTTTACTTTAAGAATTTATCAAGTAAATACGAATGTTTTACTGTTGATTTATGTGAATAAAAATCCACGATAAATCGAAATGAAGAAGCCTGTATCAAGACCCGTAAGCAATCACGATGTTTGTAACTTAGAATTTACATATTCATCATCTTATGGTCTTTCTTTCTCTCTACTGACCACTCGCTTACAGAAAATGTAATCTACGATCTCGAGAAGTGAATTACGTGTCATTATACGCCCACCTCGGTGAATCCCGGGTCTACATCAGACTTTACTTCGGTGATTTAAAACACACAACCGATAATTAGGGCCTAACAACGTCTAAACATTGTGATCAAAACTCTGATGCTCTTATGGTTCAAAATCATGTTCATATATTTTTAGCTGTAATCTTATTTACTTATATATTTTTAATTAAAAAATGCGTGAATGCAATTTTCGATAAGCAGAGAAACAAGTATTCAACCGTGTTCAATAATAAGAATAAGAAAAGGGAAAACAAAATGAGGTCTTTCAGAATTATAAGGAAAAATAATGATTACTATAACTAGTGAGTAATAGTACGATTTGTAAAAATCATTATTCTCAATGGTAATATCTTGGTTTTTGTAACTAATAGATAAAACACAAAATTTATGCAACATTTTACTTTAAATTTATGCAGGTCATTTGTAAACAAAAAAGTTTGATACGAGCGAAGAACAGTGTAAAATCAAAAATCATTTTTCTTTTTTTATTTAATTTACAATTTATATATGTACAGTATAATTTTAAAAGAATCATGTTTAATTTATTACTGTGAGTAAGAAAGATACTATTTTTTTATATCTATTACTTTATGATTATTTTTAAAAACTTTTTTTTTTTTTTTTTCAATTTATTCAAAGTTGGAGGGTGAACAAGCCAAAACGACTTCGAATTTGGATGTAACACATCAAAATACATAAGGAAAATACTTAATCTAGATTAAGAAATTTTTTTTCATTTTCAAAATTGCAATTTTTCACGATTTTTTAGCAATTTTGAGCGGTTATTCGCAATTTACTCTAACTTCAGAGTATCTACACGCTAAATAAACTGCCCATTTAAATCCAGCGCATTGGTATACGTAAGAAACATTCTCAATTCATTCTGAATTTATTTATTGGCAATCCGGTCTATCTCAACGAAAATTTTAATCTAATTTTTTTTTTTTTTTTTATCTAAGAATTTATTCTTTTTTGTCTAAGAATTTATATTATCGTAAGCCTGTATTCCTTCCAGGCATATACGATTTTTTAAAATTCGTATACAAATTCGTCATTTAAAGTTAAATTTGACTGAAAAATAATTCGGCTTACGATAATATAAATTCTTAGACAAAAAAGAATAAATTCTTAGATAAAAAAAGAATAATTAGATTAAAATTTTCGTTGAGATAGACCAGATTACCAATAAATAAATTCAGAATAAAAAATTAACCGTCTTCATGAAATAATATTGTACAAAAAATTCTTAATTTAGTTCGAAAAAAATTTTTTCTTTTGCATAACTGCAGTTTTTTGCGATTTTTACCGGTTTTTTGTCATTTACTCTAATTTTGAAGGCTTTAAAAGCTACTTAATCTTCAGATTCGGATTGAGCGCATTAAAACACATAAAAAATATACTTTAATAAGTTCGGAGAAAATTTTTTCGCTTGCATAACTGTATTTTTTGCAATTTACTGAAAATTTTGAAGGTTTACAGGCCAAACCGACCACAAATCCGGATTCAGCGTATCGAAATACCCTAGGTAGGTCTGGTCGAATGTACAAACCACTTTTTTTTGTGTGCCGGTGTAGTTATTAATGATCTAAATTTATTTTTATTAGATTCGTTTCTATGGGAAAAAAAAATTATTTAAAGTCGCTATTCAATTTAATATCGTATAATTATAACTTACAAAAAATAAAAATCTGCTAATTCCCGGCGTCTGTATTCAAATTTAAGTTTTAGTTCGGGTGCAGGCGCGTTACAACCAACTAGTGTAAAAAATACTACTAAATATTTTAAATAAAAATTGTAAGATAATTCATTTGATTATTTTTATCACAACTCACGTACTTATCCACATTAGAATAAAATTTTTACCTACATTACGATTACTAGAACTATATACCAATAATAATATTCATCGGATAGTTTATTATCAGATAGAATGAGTAGATAAAATAACAGAATGGAAATCGAAATACGTTGAACAGTGTACGTTCGCAATCAAGTAGTTTTGGTGAACATCAGCACACAACATTTACTGATGCAACAACCAACAAAACATATCGGATATCATAGCACACATTGATACCAACACTATTGTTAGATGACATATTTATATTCACGTATTTGTCAGTGTCGTAATCGTGAAAATTTGAATAGCAAAGTATTAATAAGCATAAAATCATTAGTTGTACCTACCGATTTGTAGTCCTTACATTATATAGAGACGCTTTTCCTCTAATTAAAAATTTTTCCAATTAAATGTACAATAGTTGCTTATTTCAAACTAGTTATACGATATGATCGTAAATTTATGCATTAATTACAATGGTATGAAACTTTTTTCAATGATATTATTCATTCAGTAACAATTAAAAGTTATGAAACAAAAATTTAACCGTATGAATTTCTATACACTGAGAAAAGAAATTTCTTTTGAAAAAATGAACATTTTTGTGATCAGAATTTAATTTATTGGAAATTTTCAACAATTTTATTTTTAACTGGAGAAATCAAAATTCTTCTCACAGTAATATTCTTGTTGAAAAAAAGTTTACTGAATTCGGGAAAAAAAATTTTAGAAGAAATATGAAAATTCTCAAGTTGTCTACCTAAAATAGTTTTTTCTTTTTTTTCAACAAAAAAGTTACTATGTGTGTCTGGTGTATGTATCGAAACTGGCGTGGTCACGATAATTGCCGAAAAACTTAACTGATCAAGTACATTTTTTTTATCCGCTTCAGTATTATCCTAAACTAAGTTCTTTCGAAAATCACGGTCTAATTTAATGTAGTTTAATTATAATTAGCAATAAACTAAAATCCACTTATCGTTTGTATATCTGTATCTATGTAAATAAGGTTCGTTCACAACACATACGCAGTACCTTTCTTTTCTAGGTGAATATTGGCGCGAACGATTTCAAAGTATTTGTATTTTATTTTAATCAATTTTATTAAGAAAAATGAGATTATGAGGCGTGCACTTTTGGATTTTCCAAACTTTTTACAAGTATAATCGCGATTTTTATCATTTTGAATATTTTAAATGGCCACCATTTCTAAGCTAATTGAAGTATTTTGCTCATCTTTGAACTCATTCAAAATAATCATCTGAGGAAGAAATATTCCAAATTGTATTGAGATCTGTTGTGAATTGCTAGCGCTACAGTAGACACAAATAAAATTATTAATCAATGTTTTTTTCGAGCTACACTTAACTATTTAAAAAGGACTATACTATATAATTGGAAGTAATTTCCAGCCTCAGGACCAATACAGTCTATAAATTACTACGAAATCTACCTAATAACCGCAGTAAAAAAAATGAAAATTAGTTTTATGAGTTTATCATTCAATTTTATGAAAAATGATAAAAAATATTGTTCCATTCTCAATAAAAAAGAAAAAAATCAAAATCTAATGATATAAAAAACATTTCAAACATTTGAATTTTCAGCTTTTGTTTGTAGCAATTTGTAAATGAAAATCAAGAATTTATTTGATCTCTTTCTTTCTAGTGCATAGTTACTTGATCTAAATATTGTATAAATTTACCGAAATATTGAATATTCAATTTAACTGGAGCAGTATTGATACTAGTACCTTAATACAGATATATTAGAGATTAAATAGTTATATCATTTAAGTATACAAATACATTAAAGAACTAGGATGTAAGGGACACTGGTCAAAAAATTGATTCAAGAAAAAAAAACTTGAACTAAGGAAATAATATCGGAGATTTAGATTATCTTACACTAAAGAAAAAAGTTCTTAAACAATTAAAATTTTCTTGGTTTAAATAATTTTTACTTGGTTCAAGAATTTTTTCGCTTAATTAAATACAATGAAATTCTTTACAATTATTAACCTGGTTCAAGATTTTTTTTCTGAATTTTTTATTTAACAATCAGGATAATTAAAAAAAATAAAAACCATTTTGATTTTGGTAATTTTTTTCACATATTATTTACGATTTTTTTATGACGATAAACACAAAAGTAATTGCTAAACAAATATAATTATTTTACAATGATTAATTACTTTAAATTTAAAAAATAACGAAAATACAAGACAGGGTAGTACGGGATTCTGATTACACAAAAATTGTAGGGTTAAAAACAAAAAAATGAAAATTTTTTTATGTTGGATGATGTTTTTAGGTAGAATTCATATCTCTCATGCCTCGACTGGTTGTTCTTCTTCTTTTACCTTCTTTTCCTCTCCTTTCTTGGACCAATCTGGTTTTTTCTGAAAAATTAAATAAATTTATCAACCAATTTGCAATATATTTTAAAATAAAAGAAAAATTTCTATGGTCATTGCATTTAGTAATTTCTAACAACTAGTGACTATTGAATAAATGCTTGCTAGAGACTAATTAATAATTATTAGATACAAGACAAAAGAACAATACATTCATTTGCACACACGCATGACATTGACTTAGAATTAAATTTTTTATTAGAGTTCTAATACTCTCTATTAATTGCAGATCTTATTTAGTCAATTGATTCATTATTTAATGAATGAATATACTAAATAAAACTAAACTAATGACTAGTCGTTATTTTCATAATTCATTATTAAATGATCCATTATCAAGTCAGATTATTTTATGTAAAGACAGAAGAAAGGGAATAAATATTTTAATAAATTAAAATAAATTGAAAATTTATAATTAAAGATGTAACACTTCTAATTCCGTGCTACAGGCGATAGTGAAACTAAACTACGAAAAAATAAAATTCTTTAAAGAGTTTGTTTTTTTAGTAATAGTAAAAGGTAAAAATAATAAATAAAAGTAATTTCGAATTCGGAATTATACTTTATCCCATTTGTGACTGGCATTAGAATTTTACCTTATCTTTTGAGGCATTCTGCAATCATAGTGTAAGAGCAAGAAATATTAGTCAAATACGACATAGACATATCTTTAAGCAATCTGTACCGACAATATAATCATTGAGTGTCTTCTGTATAAATATTTAAAAACTTTGATAAATAATATTATCAAGATAAAAACACTCAGTGATTATTTTAAGAAATATTAATTCATTAATTTTACATTTTATACATTTATCAATAAATTTAACTACGTCGGTTTTCGAATTATCTGAGATCTTTGATATCTTCTATTCAATGACATAATTTAATGAAAATTAAGTTAACCGACATCTAAAAATTTTAATAATTTTTTTTTATTTAAATAATGATTACAAAAAAACTAAAAAAAAAATTTCATTTGTAAAAAACTGTAAGTGCAATTTTTTAAAAATAATTTTTTTGTTCTAATTTAATTATTAAAAAAAATTAAAAAATTAAAAATGTCGGCTAACTTTAATATCATCATAATTTATATAATTTTTAGAGTAACGTGGATATAAAGTAAAACCTCAGATAAAACGATGAAAAAAATTACACAATATTAACACAACTTTTGAAGCTTGACAGCAAAATCTGTTGAAAAATACTGAAAGAGCGACATTGTTTAACTTTTGAGCAGTCATTTCATTTTTTGTTCCTCAATGATAATTATAATTAAATTCATTTTTATTAATGATTCACAAATCAAAATTTTGAACTTTTTAAAGGTGAGTGAATTGTTTTGTTTTAATAAAATAAAATATTATTTCCGTCTCTATTTTTAATTTTATACTTCTGTTAATTTACGATCTCATGATATTTTACGTACTATCATACATATAATTTAATGAAGATTAATTTTGCACAGAAAAAAAAATTTACTTGAATCAAGTAAATAATTTTGAAGAATTTCATCTTCTTGATTTGAGTAGAAAAATTCTTTAACTAAGAAATTTTATTTAATTCAAGAATTTTTCGTCTTGATTCAAGACAATGAAACTCTTCAAAATTATTTTTTTGGTTCAAGAATTTTTTTCTTGATTCAAGTTAACTTTTTTTTTCAGTGTGTTATTTTAAAAAAATAATTTAATGTAATAGGAACTAAAACCAAATACCAAAATTGTTAAAAAGACCCGTTCTGATCATTGTTTAGTCTAAAACTTTAGAAACAAATTTACTTTTAATACTTAGATCTATTTGTAGGTAAGTTCATTTTTTTTACTCGAAATAATCTACATAAAACAATCAAATTTTTTGTTTTGAAGAAAGACTGAATAAATTTGAAAAATTATTCATGAAAACAAAGTTCTATAACACATTTAAAGAGCGATGCAGATATTTTCATACAAACAATTTTGTTGAATAATGCAACTTTGTTCCTACGGAATAGTTAGTTTAATAATTGGTTTGATTCTGACCACTCAAAAGTTAAAATTCTGCAATAGAAAATAAATAAACGAAATATACATGGCAGGAAATAAATTTATTTGTATTAAAGTAGACATTTTGCGCTTATTTAAAAGCTAAAGTAAAGTTTTGGTGTTATGATAAGTTGACTGGAAATTGATTATAAGAAGAAGCGCTTTCACCGTTATGTATACCTAGTGAGAATAATAAACTCGTGTTTAAGGGAAATAGTGTTGAATGGCATTCTCACCTTTTGACATCTATTTTTCGGTATCACGTTGCGTTTTTAACGTTCGTATAGTCAAATGAAATATTTTTATTTTAATAACTTTATTTTACTTTACACTTTTTTATACAAGTGTTACAGAGAAGCAAACAGAAGAGTAATAATTTATAATTAGATCAAAATAGAAAAAGAAAAACCGAAAATCGAGGAATAAATAAGTATGATATATTAGTAGAAGAATGAGAATATGAGCTTATTATAACATGGAAATTACTAAATAAATAAATAAATTAGCTTTATAGTTAACTAAATCAAATAGAATATTTTTTGGTCCAGGGATTTCGTCATTAACGTGTCTATGACTTTGAATTATAATTATTTCAAAGTTAGCTATAATTTCAAGTATTTCAATAATCTACTCTGTGTGTGTGTGTGTGTGTGTGTGTGTGTCATATTTTGACAATACGTGGGGTAAATTATTTCTTCGTCTGCCATTCTGCTTTCTCGGACTTCTTAGGCTGTGAAGATAACAACACTCATCACCTATCTAATATTAACTACTAATACCAACAATTTTATTTTACAAATAGTTTGTTATTTTTATCACTTTTATATCAAGAAGATGATTTTTCTATGCTTCAATAATTTATCATGTACATTTAAATTTTGAGATAAAAACTTTGTAATTTAATTTCTGAGATGAAATTTCAATTTTTTCTTTTAATGCGATTTAACCAAGATATTAAAACCTTTCACAAAAGACTTATTAATAATTAAGCATAAATGAAATGGTTAATTATTTAATTCAATTTTAAAATACATCTAATTATAAATATTAATTTTATAATACATCAATAAATTAAAACCTTTGTGCAAACAATGGTATTTAATAGATTTTGTATTTTATTAATGATTCAGCTTTAAAATAAATTGTGTTATCCATTTAGAAATAGTTTAAACTTTACGTTTCGATGCTTGTTGAGCTTGTCTAAACAAAACGATGCAAATTAGTAGAATGGAAACATGACTGTCCGTATGAATGAAGAGATGCCGAGCTTTCACCCGTTGTTCGCTTTTGATAAAACATGGTCTATTCAAATGTCTGTGTATTTATGTAAAAAATACTATGTATGACACCAGATGAAACACAGTGTTAAAAATCGAAATTTTTTTCAGGAATTTCAGTAGATTAGACTAAAAATTTACTCATTGAAGTTTAATCATCGTGAACGTTTTTAGGAAATTGTTTTATACAATATAAATAAAATTTTATTTTTTAATCCAATAAACTAAGGACAATTCTTTAAATTTCATCTAAGAATATTTATAGCCTTCTAGATTTTTATCAAAAATTTAAGATAAATTAATTACATTAATTGCTTAGTTTTATATATATGTATAAGTAGTGATGCAAAATGACGGTCATTTTCAACTTTCGTCAAATCACGAGCAATTGACGAGCATTTTCTCGTCAATTGACGTCATTTTTTTTTTAGTCAGTCACAAAAATTCATGAGCATTTTTTTTCTTCTTACTAAAATTTTTCTTAAAAAAAAAAACCAAACTAATCTATTTTGAGTTTCAGATGCAACCTCAATATTTTAAATATTTAAAACAAAATTTATCTGAAAATTCTGACGGTAATAAACAAATTTGACTTGCTCAACTACTTAGATGGAAAATGACCGTCAAAAATTATTCGGTCATTTTTTGGTCAAGTTTAAAAATGTTTTTAATTTAGCTTTTAAATTAAATCGCCATTTAATTCGAAAAATGACCGACGGTCATTTTTTTCAGTTGGTCAATTGACGTCAAATGACGAGCATTTAACGAGCACATGCTTTGCTTCACATCACTATATATAAAAAATTACAAAACACAATGCTGTAATTTTTCAATACATCTCCTTGATAAACTGATAAAAATTACAAATAATACAGAAAACTAATATATACATTTAGAAAACAATCAGATACATCCTGTATTAGCGTTTGTGTGTATAATATGTACAAATAGTAACAAATATAAATTCTACTTTACATAAAAAAAAAAAAAAAAATCACAAATATATACATCTTATGCAGAGAAGCAAAAACAAATTAACTACTTTTACCTGCCTCTATACAACAAATACTCAAAATTTTGACCATAGTTGATTTGCGACAGAACAAAATTTTTATTTGAATTATATCACAGATAAAATAAAGGAATTAGTGAAGAATTTGAAGTTTGTAGACGAAAAAAAGTCTTCGAAATTGAAAAAAATTCATTAGATAACAGTAATAGTAATTATAGAAAAATTAATTGTGAATATCCTACCAATTCCTTTAATTATACCATAAAAAAGAGAATAATAAAGAAAATTTTATGAATTATGATATATTTAAGAATGAAAGAGATGAAAATCAATAAATTTACCTCCTTGTCCTCTTCTTCCAAAGTGAATTCTTTCTTCTTAACTTGTTTGAGTTGATTTCTGAAATTAAATTCAGCTGCCTTCTTCTGGAGCTTGGCGAATTTGTTTTCATACTTGGAAACCTTTTTCAATGCAGGTTTCACACTGAACAAAGAGAATTATAATTAATAAAATAAAACATTATCTCAATTAAAAATTACTTACAATTTGCCTCTGAGATCATTCACCTGACTGTTGAGTTCGGAGATCTGCATAGAAAATTTTTATTAAAATAACATTGTTAATATTAGTTTATAAAAAGTAATTTTTATTAATATATTATTTTATTACTTATTTTTTTAATTATCTTTGTTACGTCTAAAATTATATTTACAAACTATATTAGCATAAAAATTTTTAAGCACAAGCAACAAGGAAAGCCATAAATAACTCCTAAATAGTAAATTCTACATTGCTATTATTATTACTATTATATAATACGAAACTAAAAAGTTAAAATCATAAAATAAGCGTAAAAGTAATGATTCATGTTTATCATTTCGCACAACTATATAATTAAAAAATTACAGTAAATTTTTTAATTTTCACAATTTAACTGGTCCCAGTCAGCGAGTAAACTTTTTTTTACTTAAATCTAAAATTATAAACTAATTATTCCTGTAACATATATTTATGCACATATGTACCTCTCATGTACATTTATTAATTATTAATTATTATTAATATTATTAAAAAAATCCATCAAGTTAAATTTTAATTATAAACTGTGAAATTCAATTCAGAACAATTTTATCAATCAATAAATGAATTTCACAAATAATTAAATGTTGATATTTATATAAAAAATTCTGTTTTTTGAGTCGCCATCAATTGACAAGAAACACAGTAAATTATTTTTATATAAATATCACTATTCGTGAAATAATAAATAAAATTCGCAATTTGTTGGTTGGTGGTGTGTGGATTGGTGCAAAATCTTTTACAATTAATTTTATTAATTAAATTAATTAGAATCAAAAATTCCAGACCGTAAACATAAAAAAACAAGAAAATAATAGGTATAACAAAAAGGATTTCTACACCAAATTTATATGGTATACAAACATACATAACAGAGTTATTAAATTGGTAGTAATCAACGAGTAACAACGATATACAATAGTTTCTAGATAATTTTTTGTTTACACACACCCACTCTCTCTGGGTTGTGTTTGCTCTCTCGAATGAGGAAATTCGTCAACGCGTTGTTTTTTTTTTGTTCTGTTTTGTTGTTTATCTGTGAGAGCCACAAGTTGGGACAAGAGGAATCACGAGGTGCGCAAGTACGTAAAAGGGCTTATTGGTCGCATAAAAAACTTTTATTTGAAAATACAAACAACAAATGTTAACGGAAAAAAAAAAAAAAAAAAAAAAACAATTAAAATACACAAACGAATGAAAATAAAAAAAAAATAAAAATCCGATATAACTTACAATTTCAATTAAAAGTACTGAGTAAAAATAGAAAAATAAAAAAAATAACACGTAATCCATCATAAAAAGATCAATCCATGTATAAATTGCACCTTTTCACGACGTAATATAATGATAGTATAATTCAAATAGGACCCACATCAATCATCACACATTTAGAATGTCGAGTGGTGTGTTGCAAAAATAAATTATACATAAAGTAACAGAGGAAAACTTCAAGCGGAATAAGTAGTGATGAATAAGCCATGCAATTATTAGTTACTCATAATTCTAATTATCATTTAAGGTATGACTTTTATACATTTTAAAATATAATAAATACATATGGTATGGATAAAACATTATTTTATTAAACTATTGAATATCTTTAATACTTTAATAAAAATAAAAAACGTGATTTTGCACCGCACTCACAAACACACATCGACCACACTGAAAGTCTATGTTTATATCTAATGTCCTTTCATTCAATAAATGAAGAAATTAAACCAAAAATAAGTGACTAAATGTTTAAAATTTTATAATAAATATATTAAATTAATGTCATTAAAGTTAGCCGACATTCTGAATTTTTTGATTTTTTTTTTAATAATCAAATTAGAACAAAAAAATTTTTTTTTAAATTGCACTTACAGTTTTTGAAGTTTTTTAGACGTGCAATTTTTTTTTTTATTTTTTTGTAATGATTTTTTCAATAAAAAAAAATTATAAAAATTTTTTAATGTCGGCTAACTTAATTTTCATTTAAATTAAATAATATTATTTTTTAAATAAACTTATAGTTTTTTCTATTCAATTTCTCCAATTACTTTTTCTTTTTCATATATTATTTATAAAGGAAGAAATAAATATTTATTCGAGCTGATTAAATTATTAATTCAAGTAACTCAAAAAAATATGTAAAATTCAAATAATAAATGTTATTTTTTCTATAAAAATCTTAAATATTTTATAAATTAAAAAAGATCTTATTAATAGCGATTAAAAAATATTTCATCCTTTATACATCTCCACATTTATTATATAGATCATTATATTCTATCACCTTAAAAATGAATCTAAAAATGTGTCAACTATTTTTAAATAAAATTAACGTACACGTATTTATTTAACATAAAATACTTGAAAAAATAAACGCACATTTGTTCATATTTTGTCTTTATAAAATATGAAATCAAAAAATCATGTCATGTATTTGCCATTTTTTTTATAAAAAAAATTAAATAATTAAAAAAATCATGATTATACTAATGTTTCAACTTTGATTAAATATCAGTGCGTAAATTAACAGTTATTTGTGCTACGAGGCGCTTAAGTGGCCCATTATGACATTGGTGAGTTTCCAGACCGAACCGATGGACGGTGCTGTATTACAGAAGTGAGTACGAACAGGGATAAATTATCTTCCCAAGCTCACTAACAAATTTAAAAAAAAAAAACTCATGCCAGATTCACCACTTATTAGCTTCGTAGCATATAATATTATATATCTTTGTATAAATATTATGTATGCCAAAATTATATACTTTTTTTGTATTATAATTTCAGCAAATAATAATGAAGGTAGTACATTTATAAATTAAAGGACTGTTTAATCAAATGGGTTCGATTGTGGGGTTATATTGTACCTCATAGTCCCTTTTCCGTACTTCACGCTCCAAATCCCACTTCTGACCCTCACACGCGTAGACGCGTTCGTAATACTCTTGGCAAATCTCCTTCAAGTCCTCTACAAGAAGACGGAGAGCGAAAAAAAATTCATTTTAAATAAATGATTGCTATTTTCTTTTAATTGTTTGAAAAGTCATCATATAAATGTTAAATAAATAATTTTATCGTTGATTACAAGAAGTTAATTTTATGTTTATATATGTATTTAATGTTTTAGTTTTTAGTTCGTTATATAAATTTTTTGAATTAACGTATACAAAGGATTAATTGTAAGGGATAAATAATATATAAAGTAATATTATTATTAAATATTATGTGGGACGAAATAATAGAGTAATATTTTTGTTAAATTTGAATATTGTGTAGAATATAATATCATATGTATGTATAAACGAAGATTTTTGCGAAAGCTATAAATTTAATAATTAAAAAACAAAATCGCAATTAATATAAAGTTATTATCTATCATTATTAAAAAATATTGTTTTTTTTTGTTTGCTTATTATTTTTTTAATTACATTTCATCGCGATTTTAGCCGTGCACTTGGCATTATTTCAGCTTCCATTTGTTTAATAATATTATGAAAAATAAAAAATTTTAAGTAAAATTTGTATATAATTGCAGCAGATCGGTATTTTTTTCGCTAATTACCTCAAAAGCTCTCAATCTACTTGTTCTCTCAAGATCAAATTTATCACCTTCAAGTGCGTAAATTCTGTGCCAATAGGCTGTGCAAAGGGTCTGGAGCTCAGCTAAAAAAATAACATGGACAAAGAACAATATGGAAACTGTTTAGTTTTTTAATGTGTTCTCAAAATTTGTACGATCAGATTTTTTTTTTATTTTTTCTGTTCCTCAATCGCTTTTGTACCTCTCGATTGTTAAATTATCACTCCCATAAAGTCAATTCTACATATACAAAAAGCCAATTCCAGTTTTGTTTTTGTAGTAACACCCCTTAATCTATTGATCTGTGTGATAATACGATAAGAGCTATCAGACGCAGTTAATAAAGTTAATTACCTTATAATAACTTTCCATAAATCCTCTGGATATTACTTATTGAAATTCGTTAACGAAATCCTTATCGTTTAAAAGATATTAATGAGATCCGATGAACTTTATAAGATTTTTCATTTGATTGACTAATTATATTATTCTAAGTAGAATAAGATTAATAATTTAATTTAAAACTAATTTTTTGACTTTATTCACGTTACGAAAAATGTGTTTTTTTATACCAATTGATTTTTTTATTTAATTAATAAATGAATTGTAAATAATTAAAAATTTCAATCAATATTATTTTTAAACGAATGCATCAAATGAGTCACTTTAAATATTTAATCACTTATCAACAAATATTAAATTAACAATTTATTTTTTTTTTTTTAATTAATTTCTGTGAAAAAGCAATTGAAGCAATTTTTTTTTTTAATAAATTACTTAGATAAATTACACTTGGAAAAAAAAATTGATAAGTGAAAAAATAAATTTCAATAATAAATTTTTGAAGAACTAAATATTTAAAATAGTTAATAAATGCACTTAGAAAAAAAAATTGAAGTGAAAAAATAAATTTCAATGCGATATATATTAAGTAGAGTGAATACAACGAGTCATTCATTTACGGTCCACTTGTCTTTCCAACTTTTCCTTCGTTGGTATATTTAGACACATATCCCCCTCTTTCTTTTTCTCTGATGTATACTATCTATTTATGTTCTTCCTTACTCAATATTTTTTATAGTATATTTCACAAATCTTTGCACTTTAATAATGTTCATTAATAAATAGCAATTAATAAAATTTGAAAATCTAGTTGGCCAAATAGTCAATTAAAATTAATGCAAATAACCATTTTTATATTAATGCGAGCGATCGAGGTGTGCATTTAAAAAATTTTTAAAACTATTTTTTTTAATATTACTCGACTTTTCGATAATGTTTTACTATTATTCCCATTATTAGAATCTAATATCTAATATATAATACTGCTTATTTTATTTAAATAGAATCTTAAGAGAAAGTGTAAGTTTCAGTCCTCTTGCCAGCTCTAAATAGTACTATTTCTGCTCCATTCACACAGTGGTTCCGTGGTGTAGCGGTTATCACATCTGCTTTACACGCAGAAGGCCGCCAGTTCGATCCTGGCCGGAATCATATTTTTTTAAATTTGAAATAAAAAATCAAATTAAATTTCATCAGCAATTATGATTATTAATAAATATTATCTACTTTAACAATTTAATACTAAATAAAAATAACTACTAGCAATCTAATCTGCATTGATACTATTTAATAAAAATATTAATATTACTTTTAAATTAATAATACCGATTTGAAATACAAAAAAAATAGTAAGTACTACTTTTACACTTTACTTTACTAAAATAAAATTAGTTAAAATTTATAAGTGCTAATTTGCTGAAATAGTTTAACAAAATATAAATGCTGTTAAAAATAAATTAGCATTATAATGCAATTACTTTGCTAATTTGATTCATTTTTATCAAAACCTCAAAATCTTTATTGTCGGCTTCAAGCTCAAGGTCATATTTCTGCTCCTCTAACAGTACAATCCTTTTGTGATACAGCTTCAGAATTGCCTTCAATGCAGCTAATAAATATTTTTCAATAAATTATTTTGTTTGAATAAATTTATACATTCGTTTTTAGCTATTATATCTAACCGCTAAAATTAAGAACATGGTTGATTTATTCATATGAATTTTTTTATTGAGAACATATATTTCAACCTACTTAATATATAAGTTGTACCTGATAAATTAAATTATTATTGTTGATGTTGTTTCCATTTTTATCGAAAACAAATATATTTTATTAAATTATGGTGTTTTTGTTAAATTCTTAACTTAATTTGTTGTTATCAGTGTTATTTAAAATAAATAGTTTAAAAATGTGTGATGTAAAAAAAATATGAATATAAATACTAAATGACAGAAACCATTTCAGCAGATAGCATTGATGTAATCAATATGTCAGTGTATGTTTGTGTTTTTAAATTTATGCAGAAACAGAGCTAAGATAAGATCAAATTTTATTTAAAAATAAAAATGAATAGATAAATTCAATAATAGTAATTGAGTAAAAGAGAATTAAAAATTAATTCGGGCATATTTATAATTATACTATGTACTATACGTTTTTTATCAAGAGAAAATGATTGAATAGTACTGATTCAGATTTAAAACAATGATTGAAATAAACAAAGAAAAGAAAGAACAATAGTTATTATTGATTTTCCTCTAATTAAAACTATTGCTATGACAATTAATGATCAATTAGTTTGGATTTTTTGTGCTTATTACCGGTTATAGATTTATTAAAATTAACCCACAAACGGCAAAATGCTATTTTTCAATTTACTGTACCGATTAGTTGCCTGCTAAGATCAATACATCACGTATTGATCAGCTATATAATGGGAATATTAATTCAAGAATTTAATTTATTAGAAAATAATTACATTGTTGACTTGAAAATACTATAAAATATATATGATTAATTTTTTACAAATGTAAATTATTCATTAAGAAGAAAGTAATTCATTTTTACAATTATTATCAATTGCATCCTATAATATTTTAAAAAACGTTAAAGAAAAATAGAGTAAAAAAGCAAACTCACGTATTTGATAAATATTTAAGAGTAAAGTAAATATTTGTTTGAAGCAAATACATACATATTTTTTTAATTAAGAAATGTTTGTTTAATTCAAAATAACTTTTTATTACCATTATATGAATAACATATTTACTCAACAGAAAATTGCTGTCTTCGGAATAAAGAGTTAAAAACAATTTTTCAAGCTACTGAAGCTAATATTTGCATTTTTTCATCATATATCAAATCAATATAATCAACTTTTTTTTGTCATATGTAGCAAACTAATTATTTTGAAATTTATTAGTTAACTTTCGTACAATTTTTATCAGGTCTTTTTTAGCTTTTTTTAATCTCAAACTTCATGATTCTTTTTATAAAACAACATGAAAGCATGTAAACATAAATATGTTGGTATGTATGTTAAAGAAGCTAAAGTTTTAACTTGCTTGAAAAAATATAATTTTCTTGCGGTAAATAGCTTATACTTTGAAATTTTATTCTTTTTACATTTAAAAAATATCAAAAATTTGTATGAAATGTTAACAATTTTAATCATTTTAATTATTAACAGAGTTTACTAATGAAATGGTTAAAGTGACCGAATGTTCATAATGCACAGTAAAAAATTTTGCGTCATTGCGTCAAAAAATTTTGTGTTAAAAATTTTTATGTTAAATATTTAACACACTTTTGTGTTGATTTAATATAATAAGTGTTAACTTTACACATAAAAGTGTTAAATTTACACATAAGAGTGTTAAATATTTAACACAAAAATTTTTAACACTAAGTTTTTTGACGCAATGACGTAAAATTTTTTACTGTGTGGAGGCTTTTACCCTATTTTTTAATTTTTTTTATACTTATGCTGTAAAATGATATAAAATTGATATATCAAGCAGCTAAACTAGTGGGTTATGAATTGACTAACGCAGATGGTCAATTTATAAAATATTCTTAGACGTTTATGAGAGTAAAATAAAAATATACGAACAATATAGATGAGTTACATTATTCATACATACAACTGTATTAAAATTCAAAATGCAAAATAATGTTTTCTTTCACTTTTTAGACTTTTACGAATGAATTTACACAAAAATTCAAATGATTGTTTGCTATATAATAGAAAAAATGAAACTTTTGTGCCTTCTGCCGCATTTATTAGCCTTAAAGCATTTTCAGATGTGCCAATCTGATGAATAATAATTAAATAAACTATAAATATGCCACTGTATAAAAAAATAAACATTTATAATTTGTTTTTGTTAAAAAAATTATATAAAATTTGATCTTATATAAATTTGCGTTTAAGAATTATCGTGCGAAGAAAAAGAGCAGATAGATTGAAGACTGAAATATATCGAAAAAAAAAAAAAAGAAAGTTTTTTTTTCGTTAAATGTAAGAGCCAAGAGCCATCAGCTTTACAGCAATTCCGAATAGAAGCTTCTTCAGTGCGCGATCACGATTATTCACAATAAAACGCTGTAAAATTTGTATCGAGCATAACTTTTTTTTCCAAAAAACACATAGTAGCAAAAAGTAAAACAGTATTTTAATGAAAAAACAGAACAATAGCGATGACGATTTGAAATGTTAATTTGAAAAAAAGAAAAATAATAAATAACTGAATATGTATGAAAAGTAGTACAGAGTATGAAAATATATATAGAAAGAAATATATATGACGAAATTTGCAAAGCACTCAGCAGTAGTGCATGAATCGTGCAAATTTTAAAGATTTATCATCATCATATCATAACATCGTTTAAGATATTTATCTATTTAAAAATATGTAGCCGATTTTTTCCATCACAAAATTTATACCTCGTAATCCTTTTTTTTAACGATATGTTCGCTATCGAATTTTTGGTCTTCCAATTGACAAATCCTACTGTGGTAGTCCCGTAGTACACGTTTCAACGCTTCTGTGCATCAACAATTGTTAAATTGAGTTATTTAGTAGTTTTTATGTATACATGTTTAAAATGTTTTATTAATTAATTTTTAAACAAATTTATTTTATTATCATACGAAATAAGTTCATTAATACTTGAGTAAATTAATATAATGGTATAGTAATAATTTCTAAAATTACAAGTTTAATATGCTAATTATTAAAAATTAAAAAAGTATGATGATAACCACAAAAGAGGTAATTATAAATTTTAGATTTTAGACAAATCAATTATTATAATTACGGCTGTCTTAACTTAGAGTTTTTTTAATTTATTTTATAAGAAAAAATCTAAATTAATAAAAAATTTGATTTGTATACTTACAAAATATATCAATAAAGAAATAAAAAAATGGATCTAAAAATTTTACAGCTATTATGTTTCAAAATAGGACAGCCAATTATTTCCTTCAAATTGTCATTTCTAATAATTATAATTCATACAATATAAATTGTCCATCATCTAAAACTTTTTTAGTAACATTTAATCTTGTTAATATGTTATAACTAAGTGAAAAAAAAATACTAATCAAAAATAATGACTGAGGTAGTTAAGGTGAAAATTACAGAGGGTTATAATATATTTTTCAATTCTTATTAATAAGATAAAGATGATATATATGTCAGCCCATTCGACCTTTGATATATCATATTAGTTATTTTTTTTTTTTTTTGACATAACTATTTTTATAAGCTGGAAATCCCTCCCTCTTTCACCACAGCAGTCGTCTTATCCTTATTATATAACTGAAACTCATTTGATAGAATAAATCGAAAAATGTCAAGAAACTCAATTCAATATCTTCAATCTGTTCTTCATACTCTCAGTTTTTATCTGGGTATCTGAATAACAGGTATTGTATCTATCAAAAGCCTGAATATATTGCACGATTTAAATCTTTATTTGTAGATTTCACTTTTTGCTGAGCAATCAATCACCGGAAATTTAACGCCTGGTTGATTGGTCACCGAACCAATTAGCACCCCTCCCGTTTAGCATTACTTAACAGGGATGATCCGTCTCAACCATACACAAATTGCCGACCGTTAATTACTTTAACAATTAATACAAGGAATTAACGACATGTTGAGTATGTTTGAATATTGGCTAATATTGTGTCATTGGATTTTTATTTTATTCTTTGTTTTGTATTGTTCTAATCAAGTATGCAAATACTGTTTTCATAGTTTAATTTAAGTATATATAAATAAATAAATAGATAATTGTAATAAATCCGTTACCTTCACTGACGTTTTCAATGTCTTTAGGTTTCCCACAACGTTCTTCAATAATACGTCTTCTTTCAGCGGCTTTTCTTTCCTGTTCTTTTTTCAATTCTTCAGCGGCTTTTTTACGTAATAGCAACTACAAATAATATAACAATTCAGTATTATTCATATAATGGTATACAGACGATGATTATTCTTATGAATTTATCCTACTTATAAATAAAATTATAGTAAGTTACAATAATTTGAAGAAAAGATAATTGATAAAGAAAAAAAAAGATAGACACGTACCCTGAGCTTTTTTTTTCTATCTGGAGTCATGAAACCTTTCTTGGCTTTTTTCGCCTTAGATGCCTCTTCTAGACGAGCACGGACCTCCGCCCTCTTCCGCTCCGTCTCCGCCTGCTTCTTCTTCTTTTCCTACATTGTCAGTGTGAAAAACACTTTAAAGTCTCGTTTGACATATTTTTTTTGCCATTCACTCGACAAAAAACCGACTCCAAGTTCTCACTCAACATTTCTGTTCCAGAACATCTTTTTTATAATTGCAAAAAATCTCACAATTATTCGATAAAAAATATTTTTACAAATAGTTAGCTGCAACATCGTTATCAAATTTTTTTTTCAAATGAAATTTAAATTTTATTAAATTCATATCGACGGTCTAATTAGCAATTTGTCTAACTCCTTATTTTTTAGAGGGTGATTTTTTAACATTTTCATGTAGTAATAATCCAATTATAAATTATTTGAATGATTCAAACCTAAATATTATATCTCTATTAGGCATTAATGATATTAAATGGTTTTTTAAAGTGATAATAAATTTTGAACTAGTTATTTTTTTCGTACAAATAGAAGATTTTCTAAAATGGAGTTAGACAATTTGCTAATTAGAACGTCGATAATATTGTTATGAAATATAAATTTCAAATTAACAAATCAAAATTAAAAATCTATTTAATTGAAATGAATTTTATTGAAAAATTTGAAATTTCTTTTATATTTAATATCAATAATATAATGTTTCAAAAATATATTCATTTCTGATGTAAACCTCATCATCATATCAATTTTTTTTCTAAATAATGAGTATGCAAAAATTAATTCTATAACGCCAAATACTGAGTCAAAGAAAATTTCAATTTAAAATTATTGATTCAATCGCAAACTTTTTTACTCGTTTTCATTATCGAAGTGAGGTTGCTACAAACAATCGATGGAATATTCTTCTGAAGTTTTTCCTGTAAAAAAAAAGAAAATCTCATAAATAAACAGCAAAAAATAAATTTAAAAAAAATTTCTTTATTTTCCATTCAATTTAAAAAAAAATAAAAATATTTAGTAGCAAAAAAAATTGTCCAGTTTTAATTTAATTATTGAATTGATCAATAAATTTTAAATGAAGGTGTAATGAAATTAGTGAGAAAGAGATCAACAAAATAAAAAATAAACTGAATTAAGCAAACAGACGGCTGGTTACGTTCCCAGTGCTAAAGATACAAAAGAAGACTCGTCTACGTGGTTTCGCATAAGGCAAGTCTAAATACGTCCATTACCGGGATAGAGTTTAAAAGAGCGAGTTATACTGATGAAATATTCAGTCTGGTTCGCTTCATGAAAAATGCAAATTGCAACTACTAAATAATTGCTCAAAATAAAATATCTCCTCAAAACCTTTGTATTTCATTCAATAAACATAATTTACAAAGATCTAAAGTATATTTGGATTATTTAATGTACCATTTCAATTACGATAAATCTAAAGTATACTGTACAATTTTTTAGCACCACTACTTAAGAAAATAAAGAACATAGAAGATTACTAAAATAAACTTACCTAATAAATAATTGTTTATACTGCGAAGATAACGTTCCATATTATGATGGTAATGATAATAAATTAAATATCACAATATTTTTTAATTGGATTTGTTAATTGGTGTTATAAAAGTCGCACATGAAAAATAAAAACAAATATAATTAGATGCTTATAAAAAAAATAATTTTTTATAAATAAAAAAATATTTTATAAAAATAATTCAATACTTACCGAACCTCATCGTCAGCCATGGTGAATATTAGTAACTATGCTCGAGTTCCTGGAATAAAAAAAAAAAAAAATTATAAAAGTACATTTATGCATTTAGTAAAACCAATATAGAGTTTCCGGTGTTCAAATATAGACCAAGTGCTAGGTCCCCACCACAAAGTATGTAAGCTTCGACCACGATCCAAATTTGGTCGCAACGACCTGGTCGATCTTTCTCTATCTCTCTTTCTGTCTTTATATTTCATCGGTATAGCGGCTACTCGAATGTTTTGCCAAGTAATAAAATTTTAAAGGGTTATTCTACACTTGATTTATAAATTACTTTAAGCAAATAGCTTTAATTTAAACCTAAGAAGAAATTATTTATTTTATAAAAAAAAAAAAACTTTGAGTACGATAAAAAGTAATATCAATTTTGTAGCCGTTGGTTTGGTATATATTCTTTACACTTCTATTTATTGCCATACTTGACTTAGAGGTATAGAAAGTATTGTAAAAGCATAATACATTGTTACAAAATTCATACACTTGTTATAATTACTTGATTGAATTATTTAATAATCTTTCTTATTCCAGATGCAAAGCAATTTTTAGATTCCTGGTTAGCTGTTTTCTTACAAGAAGATTTATTTTGGAGGAATAAAATACCAATTGTATTAATATTGTATTATCTTTTCGTTTTCATTATATTTATAAAAAAATTTTTATATGTAATGTGCTAAAAGCACCCTCCTGTTATAAGGCATTGTATCTTATGAAACAGTATTTGAATAAAAAAAAAAATTCATACACTGACAAAAAAAAATTAACTTGATTCGAGAGAAAAATTCTTGAACCAAGAAAATAATTTTGAAGAGGATAATTTTCTTGAATAAAGATGAAAAATTCTTAAATCAAGTAAAATTTCCTTAAATCAAGAAGATTAAGCTTTAAAATTATATACTTAATTCAAGAACATTTTTTTTGTGTACTACTATTTTTTCTTATGTACTTGAATTCAATTGATATTTAAATTGAATATATTTGATTTTAAGTAAGAAATACAAAATTCATTTTGGTCTTTCATTGAATATTTGTATACGCGTCTCTACACTGTGTAATTATTATCAAAGAAACTAACATACCAAGTTAAGTCATGTGCAATAATTCTAAACTATAAACTTTCTATCGAAAGTTTGGATTGAACATATGTCAGTGACAGTAAATAATTTGTGTCTTAAGACACTTGGATATTCTAACTAAAGTGAGAATCAAAGTATGGTCTCCAGTCTGTAGCCTCTAAAATAATCGGAGGTAAAGTTTAGTAGATACTGTTTGTCTAAGTTACAAACGGAGCTTTAATTTAAGCTCTAATAAGTCTCGTGGAAAGCGGAGAGTAATTAATTACCTCAAAGAGAATTCCTGATAACCCTCAGCGAGCTAACTATTGTGGAATCATAAAATAGTGAATTATTTTACTACTTGGATATCATTAATTCCCTATTTATTGGTAATATTAATTAACATCCAATTAAGTACTTGGTCAGATTAATTTTAAAGTAATAAAATTTTTTTTTTATCTATTTGATAAATGATATATTTTTTTTTCCGCAGGTATTTATCAACCTAAAAACGTCAAAATCATTCATCAACGTTAGATGAATCGCAACATGACAAGCCAGAATTATGCAAGGCTCACGTCACCCGTCAGAGTATGTTCCATAATAAAGATGCAGACTAGCAAATTTATTTATAGATATTACTATCACTCTAATTTTAGTTCTACATATATATTGATATATGTTGTGAAAGATTTATATTTTCAATTAATAAATCTCATAAATATCCACTCAAGCTTAAAATATTGACCAACAAATTTTTAGACTTTATTTCGAGTAAATTTATGTAAAACTGAACTTTCGTAACTTAATTTTGGAATATTTATTGAGCGCGAAAATTATCAACGTGGGTGTTAACATAATTTTACTCAGCAGCCACACGAGCCTAGAATACTTAAATTTATGAATGAAAAGCTCTGAATATTTTAAAGTTGAATGGAAGCTATGTGAAATAAATGACAAGTTAATGTCAAAAATATAAAAACAATCATTTAAATAAATATAATATTCGTGTTTGTTTTTTAAAAACAATATTATTTTTGTGTGCACGAATTGCTAATTAAATTCGCAATTATTTATAATCTAAATGATTCACTTATTGGCTGAGTGCTTAAGATCTAAGGATCATTAACCTTTGGATTTTGTAACAGCTAATTTATACAAACAAAATAAAACTTTTCAGTCTAAATTCTTAAACACATCTCATCACTTATTTAAAAACTTGCATGCCATATTAATATCAATCACTGATTTACTATTTACTTGACTTATTTAAAATTTATCCCCGAGTCGTAACATGACAAACACTGTAACTTAATTGAGATAGAGTAGGAGTAGATGAAGAAAAATAAAACCGAATGCAGTTCAATTATTTAATTAATGTGTTGGTATTTTTATTTTTATTTTCATGTCTTAAGTAACTTATTTTAAAATAGATAAAAACATAGTAATAAAAATAAAATAAATGCTCTCCAGTATCCACTTTGAAAAATAATCTTACCTGGAACTTAGGATAAATAAGTTGGATATGTGACTAGTCTACTGAAAGTTAAGCAGCAGACTGTACTGCACTGAAGATTATTCTTTCACGGCCCTAGAATCTCTTGAATCTTTGACATGATATGCCACGTGATCAGCATAGCAAACTACAACGATTGGTCAATACAGATTTAGACGAACTATAGAAGCTCCGAGCAACTCCAAAAATAATTTCAATCTGTAAACGGAGCCAACTTCTCGTCTTCTTTGCTACCATCGTACTGTCTCTCCTTTTTCCCTAGAGAGAAGAAAAAATAGGACGTCCTCGACATCATAAATTTCGCATTAAATAAATATACACATTTATATACATATTTATGTTTAATTTTCATTTTTTTTTTTTTTTTTTTTTTTTTTTTTTTATTATAATGTATAAATTTTGGTGAGTAAAAACTTTCAAAATTCATTTACTTTTGTACTATATAAAAAATGCATTATCATACATTTAATATAGGACGGATTAACGATATATTTTACTACGATATTGTCTAGCGTAAAAATTTTTTAAAAATCATTTTTCCACAAATATTGTAGAAGCGTGAAATTATTGCTACAACTAAAATTAAACATTATTCTCTTAGCGAGATATATATACACATTACACACATTAATTAAAATATTTATCGTGTAGTGGAATACTGTTGATAATTAATCTTACATTTATAATGAATTTATAATTTTTAGATTCTTTTTGTTCCTTCAATGATACTTATACAAAAATAATAAATGAATAAGTAAGACTAGTAGTTAATAAATAAGTATGTAGATGGGTGAGTTCATCAAATATTTATCTTTAGAGTCTCAACATTTTCTTACTTTACAAATGTTTTATGTACTTGAAAAATTTCTAAAACATTATTTTCTTATTAAAACGAAATAACATTTATAAATAGAATAAATTTTTAGGAACAAAAACAATCTCAAATTAATTATAATCAAATAAAAAATTAACTAATATGAGATACAAAAAAATGAGTTAACGAAACTCAAATTACAGTTAATAATTCGAATTAACCTTAATTAATAATAGGGTAAAAGACCTCATTAGTGGCGGGGATCCCATTACTGACACTTTCTTTGATTTTGGTACTTATTCAATTAATTAAATCATTAATTTCTATTATGATTATATTATTTCTAATCTTTAAGACCTTTAGATCAAAACAATTTTTAATTTTTATTCCAAGTAGAACATTTTTTCATTGAAAAAAAAAAAGTGCTACTAATGGGGTCTTTTACCTTATGTAAATCTAAATTTTATCTGGCGTAAATTTTTCTAGTTCTTTTCGAATAGCAGCAATAAGTGGAACAGCCGGATCATCCGGAGCTAGATGAGTATCCGCGAGTACGCGAGTAACATTTACTTCTGGTAAATTCGGTCGGTGAAACGGCCCCGCACTCATTGGTCTCGATCCCCATGCCCCTCGGGTTGGTACGCTTGTGTTTCCTGTTTCCGGTATTGATTCTTCGAGAATGTCGCGCGGTAGAGAAGTTCGTGGACGCATTCTCGTTTGATCCATTGGACTTTCGGCCGGACTATACAGAAAAAAAAATGGTCTTGAAATCAAGTATATAATTTTGAAGAACTTAATATTCTTGATTTAAGGAAATTTTTGTTAATTTAAGGAAATTTTACTTGATTCAAGACAATTACTCTCTTCAAAATTGGTAATCGAAAAAAATAGACCCGAAAAAAATTTTTAAATTATGAAAAATTCATATTATTTCATTAAAGTTATTATAAAATAAAAATTATAATAATATTAATAATTTAATAAATCTGAAGTAATATGAATTTTTCATGACTTTAAAATTTTTTCCAGGTCTATTTTTTCCGGGATCTATTCTTCAAAATTATATTTTTGGTTCAAGAATTTTTCTCTTGAATCAAGTTAATTTTTTTTTCAGTGCAAAAATGATATAAAAAGATAAAAAAAGAAAACAAACTTGAAGAGTATTGAGAAAATTTGGTAATTAAAACCAACCTGACGAGAGTACATTTCTCTTTCGACTCCAAACACGTCGTAACACGATCGTGTGAAATTCCGTTTGAATGTGAAGATACTGAAATGTTTGTTTCTTTGGTTTTTATGTCCTTTGCGGTGAATAGACTGAACGAGTCCTCGAGAAGCTCGTGGAGTCTTCTCCTGGCTCGTCCTACGGGACCCGACGATGGCAGTTGCCGTTCTACGTCCATTTCCGTACCCAGATTTTCTGCAAGAATAATTCAAATCTTTTGAACAAGATGTCATTAAAATTCTCTTTTTTACTAACCCAATAACCCAGCTCTCGAATGTCTAAAAGATTCATTTTATTTTATCTTTTATTACTAGGGACCAGACCAGAATATCTTGATTTTATTTTTCTTCAACAGTATTCGAACATAAAAAATAAATATTCAAGAATATTATCCTTGAGACACTGAGGTAGGTTATATGACAGTAGTAAAAACAAAGCTCCGAGCTATATAATGGAAAAGTAATATCATAAAATAAAAACCTTCAACCGCTCGTTGTCTTCTAAGATCCCAAACAATCGGACCAACAACTCCTGGATCCTTTACCGCACTTCTTGTTCGTCCTAGTGACTCATCTCCTAACTTTTTATTAATAAAACCATTCTCGCGTCTCGTCATCTCGGGAGTTTCAAACTCCATATCTAAATGTCGGACCTAAAATTCACATATCAATAATTACAATCATATTTATATTCTTTGTATTCTTATTTTTATTTAACAATAAAACTAATACAAAAATTTTATCATTAATATTAAATTTCAATAATTAAAATAAAAAAAGCCGAGTAAATAAAAATATGCATTTCTTATAAATTGAAAAATTTTTTAATTTCTAATTTTTAAGAATAAATTTATAAATAAATTAGCAATAAAAACAAATTATTTACCACAACTGGTTCTAATATCCTAGAAAGCGGCTCTACACTTCTCATACTTGGAAATAATTTGCAAGGCGGCATTGATAAATAAGAATGCGGTGAAGCTGTTTCTTCTAAGTGATGAGCATAACCATTTTCAAGACATTCACCCCTTTCATTATCATTAGCTACTGTCTCCATCGAATTAGGACTGTCTAGTGTTTCAATAGCATTCATTTTTGTTATTCGTTTTCTTCCAGTTCTATTAAATCAATAATAAATATTTTTAAATTATAAAAAATTAATTACTAAATATAAATTTATTTAAAAGTACAATAAATACCTGTCTTTAGATGGTAACGTTGGATACTCCTGAATATCCCAAGAGCCTTGGATTTGTTTTTTAGTCTCCTCGTCCTCGTCACTCGACAACTCTTGTATATCATCGTCAATAGTGTTAGGCGTAATAGGTGTACCTGGAGTTCGAGAAAAACTTCCTGGTGTCCGTCTCTGACTGGTACCATCCGTCTATAAACAGTTCAATACACGAGAAATCATTACTAAAGTATTATGTAGATATATTATGCACACTAAACTCATTTTCATAGTTTGCATGATATTCAAAGAATTCTTATTCATTTAAATCGATATCTTTCAATCCATCTCTTTCAGCGCAATTATATCTCTCTCTATATCGACTCAATCAATATCTCTCTCAATATCCACTTATTGTTTTAAAAAGAAAAAGAAATATATCAAATACTCAAAAAATATTTTGAAAAACCACTTCAATAATTAATTGCACGCCTCATAAGCGAAGCGTTTAGGTAGTGCTTATGACCAAGGTCTTACTTTTTGTAGTTGAGTATTTTTTGGTTTATTTTTATTAATTACTTAAAAATTATTAGAAATAATTATTATGATTATTATTAAATTTTCATTATTGTATTTATTTAGTTAATAATATTATATTATTGTTGCCGAAGGTTTGATTAAATTAGAAATTTAAGAGTGTGAGAAATTATTTTGAAGCCGAGCGTTTAATTTGTTTATATTGTTTATATTGTTGATTAACAGGATCAGGCCAATAAAGAGGTTTTCTTTTTCTTTGATTTATTTAAAATGAAGTGTTTTGTTTATACTTTGTTATTTTTGATGTAATCCTCGTTTATGACCCTGGACTCCGGCAAGCAAATTTCGAGCCGGGGATTAATTGATTATTATATTAGAATTCGTGGACGTTAGATGCTCTATTCTCGACATTTCAAAAAAAGTAGTTTTCTCGAAACTGAAATTGATTTTTTTTTATTTATATCGCACTTACAGGTTAATATGAGTGTACTAATATAAAGTCAAATAATTTGTCAGGCACATAAAATATATTTCAATAACAATTATTTTGTTTAACATAGTAAATAATAACATTAAAAATAATCTTTTCTGAACGTCCTTGTGTCTGTGTTTATAGATTGATGTATGTGGCAGATAAATTGGTCGAAAAAATTATCGTACCTGAATAATTTTTTTTTTATTATCTAAAATAATACACTTCGGACTTTCTCAATTAATATGAGCGTTCAATTCACTGTCGTTAAATTATTATCTATAAGAAACTAATATATGACTGTGGATTTTTTTGTATATCTATTTATACATTTTATTATAGTATTTTTTTTCCTCACTTTAGAGTTATGGCACCATTAAACCATAGCAGAGTTTTCTGTTTTTTATTATTTTGCTTTTTATATTTTATTTTATTCAATTTTATCATGAAAAATGAGATTATGGGGCGTGCACTTTTGGATTTTCCAAATTTTTCTACCATAATTTAAGAAAAAAAAAATGTTCTTACTCGTCCTTCCGTCTCTGATGTATATCCAGTGTTGTCTAATCCTGGTGTAGACGTCGTATACCCCGCTTCTTTTTTTAAAATACTTTGAGTTGGAGGAGCAGAAACAGTACTGTGAATTTTTTTTTTCCTCGCAATTAAAATAATACCAATTATTATTAAAGTTAAAAGTATAACAATCGCTCCTGCGGTGCTAATCAACAGCCAAACTTCTGGTTTTCTCGACAATGCAAGCGGTTGAGTTTCTTTCAAGTAAGCTAATATAATATAAGAAGAAAAAAAAATAGCTTTATGTATTCAAACGAAGCTCTGAATATTATTTATATTACATCTTTACTTTTAATTTAAAGTAAAATGAAAAAAAAAAAAAAATAAATAAAACTTACGTTGACTTTGAATAATAACTGGCACACCAAGCTCTAAAGCAACTTCTTGAGAAGAAAGGAGCGCCATATCTTTGGCTGCTGTTTCCGCAGGTACAGGTTTTCCTCCCAAATGAACAGAATAAATTAACTTTGTCGATCCATCTTGTTGAACACTCGTGTTTTGCATTTTAACTTGAACAATTCCTGTACCTGTGGTTTTTAATCTTGAACTTGATGAATAATATTCTGTTTTATTATTTAAACTAGATATATTTTGCTTAACAGTTGATAATGAAGATTCATTATTTACTATATCTATTTTTTCATCATTAATATCAACTTTTGTTTCGTTAGATTTTGTATCGTTGAGTGGAGTTTGTTCATGTCTTTCAATTTCAGTCTTTGAATTTATATTAACATTAGTATTTGGCTTTATATTATCTTCATTGTAATCCACATAATAATGCTCTGGATTCGATCGTAGAGCTTGTGGATTTTTGACTATTTTTTCCATCAATAATTCTGATGTTTCATTTTTTAAAGATGTTATCGTTGGTTTAACATCTATTGCATTATTATTTAAAGTTAGTTTTGATTCTGTATTATCTACTAATTTCTTATCTAAATTCTCACTTATAACTGTGGATTTATTTTCATGTGAAATATTTAAAATCTTAATCTCTTTCATTTTTTTTTCAACCTCAATATAACTGGAATTATTATTTACTATTGATTCTGGTACTACTGTTGAACTGGCAATTGCTACAGTATTTTTTATACTCTAAAAAAATATTTAAATGCATGAAATTAATAATTAATATTTATATTACAGCAGACATCTGAATAATTTTTGATTTTTTTAAACAAACAAATCAGAACTGAAAAAAATTTACATTAATTATCTTTTAATTTCTTCATGTAGAATTTTTTTTATAAAAATTTTTGCTCTGTACCTTTTTGCTTTAGAACCGCGATTTGTTAAAATAAATTTAAAAATTATCAAATGTCTGCTGATTTAAAAATTATTATATTAATTATCTCAATTACATTGTTTGTAGATTCTCTTGATACTATTTTAGCATCATCTAGTGGTGTAAGTTTTTTGTTGGTAGCTCTTCGAAGACGAGGATCCGTAGTTAAGAGTCCCAAGTGCCGCTGTTGTTGACGCGTGAAAGCAGCTCTGTATAAACGAGCTAACCTGAGTTCAACTCTTGACGGTACGTTTTCACCAGCTTTAAGTACTGTTAAAAGCCAGTATCTGAAAAAACATCAAATTAATTCAACGGTAATATTTGCATACATAATAAAATTATGACATGATAATCATAAAGATGACGATGATGATGATGACTATGTTCAATAAATTTGATAAAATAAACAGATAGTTACTTGGGATCTGGATCTTCGCCAATAAAAATACCAATTTCTTGGTCAGGGTCAATCAATGTCGGAGTGGGTTCTATGCAAGAGATACATCCGGGATCGCGAGTTCCACTTCCAGAGTCTTTTCCTCGACCTACATCCTCTTCTGGGACGTAAACTGTTGCTGTATGATGAACAGTACGAGTTTCGTAGTACGTAAGTGTTTGTTCTGGATCTATCCATGGTGGCGCGTCTTCTAAACCAGTCCAAAAAAAATCTTGCAGATGAACTCGTCTTCCAGGAAGATGCTCAATAAGTATAATTTCGTCCTCTAAAAAAAAAAGAAAAAAAACATTTTTCAAAGGAATAAACTCTAGAATAACATTCTATTGATGTTCATAAAAATTTTTAAAAATTATCATTAATTAATTAAATTATTTTAGAGTTTTAAATAGTTATTAATGTTATTAATGCTATTATTGCTATTATTATTAATGCTCGTTATTATTAATGTTTATTATTATTTACAAGTGAATAGAGCGGATCTACTTTTAAATATCAATTTTACAGCTTTATATGTAATAAGAAATAAATATATTTTACAAGCTCTAGATCTTCTGTTCTTTTCTTTACTTTTAAGGGAAGTAATATAATATAACAATACAAATATTAAGGAGTTATTTTTGTTCAGAACTTTAAGTCGAACTTTAAGCGCGTTTTTCGTAAAATTACTTTTATCGATACGGTTGGCATGATATCTCAGGTTCTAACGCTCAAGTTTGCTTGAAATTTCACCCAGAGCTTTTATTTTCTATCCAGCAAAAAGTATCACTGTGTTGTTAGAATACTTTTTTACTACTTTTAAAAAATTCCGAAGTTTGAAAAAAATTAGGCAAAAACACAATTTTTTTACACCGCTATTTTGCAAAAAAAAATTTTTTTAATTTCCCTATGCAGTGCGATGATTACATCTTTCTTTTATAAGAATTTTAGAGAGTTTTTTTTTTTTAAATTACTGTACACTGAGAAAAAAAAATACTTTTATTAAGAAAATTTTCTTGATACAAGAATTTATGTTCTTGAAAATTTTCAAGAATATATATTCTTAGCTTTATTCAAAGATAAATATTGATGTTCCTCTCTTCAGAAATTAATAATTAATAATAATAGAATATTTGATCATCAGCGAGTTTCTTGAGCCAAGAAATTGTTAATTGAGCAAAAGTATTTTTTATTCTCAGTGTACCATCTTTTTACGAGCTCTTACTGTGTCGGCCAGCATCTTTTTGAATTTTTTTTCATAATTGTACTTTTTTATACTGTCAAAATATCAAGAATTAATTGATAAAAATGGGTAGTAAAAATATTAATTGTTTTTTTTCACAACGCTCGAAAAAATACCTAAAATTAGGATGTCAAGACGAGAATACACCCCTTTAAATTCATTCATTAACAGGTAAATTTTTTATTCTTGTTAAACTTCGTGAGTTATCGCCAAGTCATCCTTTTAATAAATTTAATGTTACATGTTAACTGTTGAGTGTAAAATAAAAAAATAAAAAAGTATAAACTCTGAAAACGTACAAAATTTACAGAGTAACTTTAGTGACAGGTTTCGTAAACGCACGCAATCACGTGACAAAGTATCGTCAAATTTACATAGATGAGCTTGCGTAGCTTCAGTCTCAAGAGCAAAGACCTATCAAAGGTAACAAGATTGTACGGGAATAAAAAAAATTAAAATACTTTAGCCAAATCTTTGAATGGTACTAGCTTGCACAAATGTTGCCGTAATCGATTGTTTTATTTGTGTATTTGTATGTATTTTATACTCTGTTGAACTTTGATGGCAAAATAAGTACACTTATATATTAAATAAATAAGTATAATTATAATAGTAACCTGTAATTTATTATTCAATTAAGCATAACATTTTATACTGATAAAATAACTTAATATTTTAACAAAGTCAGACTTCATGAAATAAACAGATTTTTACGACTTAAGCTTATTAAAATTTAATTAAACCACTTTGCTAATTACAATTACTAAGAGTGAGTATTTTTTAATAATTGAATTTCAAAATGAACAATGATTTATTAATACTTTTTGTTATTAATAAATTTATTTTACAATTTAACGAGAAGCAATTCAAATAATTTTTCTTCAAAATTCTTCTACTATTTAATTTATTGTAATTTATAATAAAAAAATTGGATTATTAAAGGAATTAATTACAACCAAAAATCTATTTAATTAAAAGATACTTGATTTAAACAATAAAAAAAAAGGGTTGATGGTAACTGTCGCATGAAAGCAACTGTGCCATTACCATCATATGTGTATTCCGTCCCTGTCTAGGGGAGTGCTAAACATCTCTCCTTTCATACTACACAGTAAACTATACGCTACGCTCACTTTTATATACTGAACGCTACTCAGCATAACTACTTGCGAGAAGAAAATGATGGACGCAATCGATCGATTTAGTCACTTAAAAAAATGCTGGTATAATACACACGATAATTAAAGCATATTTACATTTAAGTATAATTTTTAAATCGATAAGTTGTTGTAAAAAACAGCATTAAAAATAATTATTTTTTTTACGTAAAGCAATGAATTAAAATTTCATTGTTTCTATTTTTATTAGCAGCTATAATTATTAAAATTAATGAAGATAAGATGCAAAAAAAATTTTAGTTTTTAATACTTTATTGAAATTGTTGGGTAAGAGAAAAATTTTTATTAAACGTTGAATTGCTTATTAAAATATATATTGAGATTTTCTTTGTGATTAATATTTAACAAGCTATGAAAGTTTTAGTATGTGACTGAAGTAAAAACTGCACTCAGGAGAATCTTGATGCTAATATTAATTTTAAAAACTCATATTATTCTTATTATAAAGAAGAATATAATAATTATAATGGTAAAGATAGAGCCAAACCCTTGCAATTACCAAAGATTAATAAAAATATTTCTCATAAAAACTCTAAATATATAGCAATTAAGTATTTTAATCAACTACCATAGACATTAAAGTCTTTAAATATAAAAAAATAAGCTTAATAAAAAAAAATATTTCAGTGGATAGCATCAATTGATCTCTAATTCATGTTTTCATAATATGCTCTCTTGTATTTTCACATTAAAATGTTACTTTGTGCTGTAATATTAAGTTTTTGATAAGTTTTGCTTCTCCAGGTCTTTGTACAGTGTACAGGTGTTTTTGTAACACCTCTATAGGTGCACACTTTGTATGTATATACTATTTTTGTATCCTGGTAAATAAATAAATAAATAAAAATAAATTTTTGGTGAGGTGTAAGAATACACAGAAAAAAAAAACTTTTTGCACCAAGAAAATTTTAAGGAAGACAAAAATTATTTTGGAGCAAGAAGAAATTTTCTTGGCTCGAGAAACTTTGACTTCATTCGAGAAATTTTCAATTTTCCTTAATATTTTTTTGAGCCAAGAAAATTTACCTTTAAGATTTTTTTTTTTTCAGTGTACGTAAAAGTATTAGCAGAAAATTTAATTATAATGAATAAGAAAATGTGATTTAATATAGTCTGTATAGTTTGTAAAAAAAATAAATCTTAAAACTGAATTTGTATTATAGGTGTAAAATGTAATGTGAGAAAATTGTTAATACTTAAAGAACGTCTAACACAATAAAAAATTATTATTATCATTATATTAGGTTTGACTTAATTTTTTTTACACAGTATGTAATTGTTATTTTTTATTATCAAATTTGTAGTGCTTATGATAAACTTTTTAATATTAAAAAATAAACTGGATCGACATTTTTCATATTATCAATATTCTTTTGTACAGACGCTTTGTAAAGAATATTTTTGTGTGATGAAATAAAAATTTGTAGAATTAATCTTATGTGAAAATTTGCTAACTAAATTAATCATTTCAATAAATTTTTTTAATTTATTTATAATTAATTACATAGATAAAATATTCGAGACCTTAACACCTATGCTAGGTAATTAGCTATTAATTATTCCAACTGACAAAAGAAATAATAAATATTCGAAAAGTCAAGTTTTTCTCATAGAATGATAATGTCCTTGTTCCACGGTCTGCTTAAGTTTCCGGTCCGGTAGCTTCCGTCCTATGGTGGACCCGCAAGCTAGTTCCGCCAACGCACCTACGCGTATCGCTATTATTATTTAATATGATCCAACTAGCTCCTATCATAGTAAACAAATTAACTATCAAGACTATTTCCTAGAAAGTTTAACAAAAAGAAAAATTACCTTTCATCGAACAATGAAAAAAATTAAATTTATTTATTTATTTATGAATAATAAAATAAACTTGAAAACATTTTCAAGTATTTGATGCTAATGCCAATACACCGTAGATATTTTTAGAGGTAAGAATCGGAGTGTTTAATCGATAGGAAACCAAGTTCCTATGGTGAATTGAATGCCGCTACTAACTTTGTTCGACTTTTTAACACTTTTTTAATCTACCACAAAATAAAAAAATCATTTTTTAATAAAATTAGTTAGCTGACATTTCAAAATTTTTAGAAATTTTTTTATCCAAAAAATTTCAATTAAACAATTAAATAAAAACTTGAAAAACTATAAGTGCAATTTCTTAAAAATATCTTTTTAGTTGTAATTTAATTAAAAAAAAAAAAAAATCAAAAATTTTTAGACGTCTGCTAACTTCAGTGACATATTATTAATTGTAACTAGTTATACTAAATTGCCTTAATTATTTTATACATATATTTGACAAATAATTTTATTTAATTGAAATAATTAATTCGTAAAATATTTGTTTATTCAAAATTGATGTGAATTAATATAAAATGTAACCTGTCAATTAAAATTTGACTTTTTATCTGCATTTTATGATATGAATATTAAAACTTTTATTTACATATAAAAAATTTTTCTTAGGATTGATAAAATAGAGAAATTGATTAAACTTTATACAAAAATGAAAAATGAAAATTGTCTATAGTTCAAAAAAACGGGAAAAAATAAATTAAAATAATTATTAAAATTAATGAATTTATCTGTGTGATGATTTATTAAATAATGACGTCCAAGTGTTGACTAGAATAAGTACAAGCGCGTGGTAAAGAAGGCAATAATATCGATTTACCGGAACACCTGCACACGTTTATTCTCTTGGAACTTTCATTGCTGTGTAATATATAGAAATTCTAACACTTTAATTTATAAATCAATGCTGGCTCATTAAATGACATACGTTATAATTAAATATTAAAGCTCTGTACAACGAATGTAATTTATTGTAAAAATAAACTGTTCAATGACAAGAGCAGAAATAATTGAACAAATTGTGTTAATAAAAATATAATAAACTTTTCAACAAGTTAATAGAAATTTAATAAAACTAAATTGTAATAACTTGAACAAACCACCTGTTTGTATCAATGAAGATGATACAAATCCAAGAAAGTAAATAAATATTTATAATTTAAATAAGAATAAAAAAAATTAATAGAATTTCTGTGAAATACAATCAGAAAAGTTCATACACCTGGAAGTTACATAAATAATAAAATATTCCGACGGCATCGACCCTATATAAACCTACGAACAACAGACAGGTAGCTTACAAAGAAGCTACCCTTGTTAATAAAAAATTATAAAAAATTTTAGTGATAAAGAAAAACTTTATTTTGTATTTTTTGTATTAAAAATAAATTTTTTTCTATAAACAATTACTGTTACGAACCAGCTCCAGGCGGCAGGGCGGCTTTAACTTTCAAGTAAAACGGCAAGAGAATAATAAATTGTACAACTATAATATTACAACAAGCGAATGGTGTAATGCAGACGACACTGCAACACATCGCGGTGCGCTCTGCTCTACTAAAATATAATATGTTAGCCACAAGCGTGTCACAGAAAAATCCCTTCCACTTTCTACGAGCGATAACACTATTAGATAATAATATAGCGATGGAAGTTCGCGGTTTTTTGTGCACATGCGCTCAAGTTTTAATTTATGGATATATATGTGGTGATTTATGTTTCAAAAATTTTTTGTAAAATCATAATCAGCGGGAACTTTAATTTTTTGAAAGCATGAAGATATGTTTCAAAAGCTATTCGGGGAGATATTGATATTTTTTCATTTTTGGTGTATTTTTATAGCACGATACTTTTAAATCTATAAGGAAAAAATTGTTCTTTTATAGATTTTAAATACATAATTGTTAAGTACACTGAAAAAAAAAATTCTTGACTAGAGGGTAAATTTTCTTGAGCCAAAAAAATTTCTTCTTGCTCCGAAATAACTTTTGTCTTCCTTAAAATTTTCTTGATGCAAAAATTTTTTTTTTCTGTGTAGATTATATTTGCAAAATATTGATAATAATCATAATTCAGGGTCATTCGCTTCAATAATCACCAGTTATTAATTAAATTAGCAATACGTTTCGAAGGTATGACTTATTAAACAAATAACAGTTAATCATAAGCAATTGAACAATTAATAATATGGTAGAAAATTACTAATTTCTGATCTAATTGTTATATATTAACAAATAATTAGTAATTACAAAAAAAAAAAATTCGTTATTTATTTGCTACAAATTGTCGAATTATTATTATTTTCATTACTAAAATGAAATAGTAACTTTGGATTAAGATTATTAATAATTTTAATTTACAAATATTAAAAATCAATTATTCATACATTATTAAAAAAAATTAATTTTTGATTGTAAAAATTTTACCTGCGTAAAGTAAGTTAGCGTCTGAGTACTTCCTGAAATATTTAATTATTAACTTAAAAACAATTGATTTTATTTTTTAATTAATTTAAAAATTGATTTTTCTTTTTTATAAAAACTAAAATTCAATCAAAAGTTATAAAGTGTGTATTTTGAAATTTTTTTATCTTATTCTATACTGTTCTCATTTTAATTACAACGACTAATCAATTTAGCGAAATAATTATTAATTTATTTTAAAGTCTACCTTTAAGTAGTTAAACATCTAGATTTGTTTAACCTGCTAACCATAATTTCATCGTACGTGTCTAACAGGCTTTGTTCATCTGATTTTTTAATTGACTCAAAATATCTTATATTATTATTACTCGTTGTCTGCATGTAACTCAAATCAGCCTCTGGATCATGGTGTCAGCAACGCTATGTAAAATAAAAAAAATAAAATAAAATAAATCATTGATTTATGTGATCAGGTTAAAAAATAAGTTTATCATGCATAACTAGTCAAGTGACCAAATAAATAAATAAATTACTTTTAATAAAGATATTTATTTCATTTAATCAGTCGACTCTTTTGAATATATAAATTTATATATTATAAAAAGAGAAACTAAGAGATGTTACACAGTATAAAAATTTTTTTGATATTACCTAACATCTTAACAAGTAAAAAATTCAGTTATCAGAAACATACATTTATTGTTTTTAATATCACAATAAATAAAACAATTAGCTATTTAATCGTCAATTATACTTAAAAACTTCATCATCTTGAATAAAATATTAAATGTGTAGTGTTTAAGTGTTTTTTTTTTTATAAAAATTATAATAACTTCAGAAAATTAAATAAAACCTGATAAATTTAACCGGAAAAGTCTGAATAATCGTACAAAGCTTGATCATAAAATTCACATGTGATAAGTCGTTTATCAAAATAACGACCATTCAAAGAATTTTTCGCACGTTCAGCCTCACTTATGTTTGAAAATTCAACAAATATTTTCACGATTACTTCAGCGTCATCATCTTCAGACTGCCTCTCATTGTAAATAACAACCTTATTAACAACTCCGTACTTGGAGCACTCCTCTTTAATTTCTTCTTCAAGCAATTCATCAACATCTTCAGGTGAAGTCATATTTTTGAGTACTATCACACGCGATTCAATCCTACGCATAAGTTTTTGCATAACTAAATGTCGAGCACTTGGACCTTTAATGGTCAAGTTTTCTTGTTGCTGCAGCGTCTGTACTTCAGTCTCTTCAAGTAATTTTTTTTGCAATTCTTCCTGCTGTTTTTGTTGAGCTTGCTCTTTAGCTCGTTTAGTAGCGTCAACGGTTGGCGAATTAGTTACTGGTACAACTAGCGTTCCAATTGCTGTCGGGGCTACTACTGTAGGTGGCGGGATGTTAACAGATTGTCCAGAGAGATATTGAGTACCTATCGGTTGTGATGATAACATTTGTGGAATAACTACTCCAGGTGGAGGAATTACTGGAGCAATTGATGCCGCCGTCGGAGATGAATTCGAACGAGGAATATCCTGATAAGGTGAATCAGAGTCTCCTATTTTTGTTAATCCAAGCGCAGCAGCGTTACTAGCAACAGCATCCATTGCTTGAATTTTAGCTGTAGCAGTAGCAGCTGCGACTGCTGCAGCTGTTGGCATTGTACTTGAACCACTTGAAGGTTCCATCAGTACATTAGGAGGTGTAATGGCTATTCCTACCCTCAAGCAAACTCCTCCCAAATCAAAGAGATTCATTGAAGATATCGCTTCAACTGCTGATTGCATCGTTTGATACTCGATATACGCATAATTTCTATCACGATTAGCTGAATTTCCTCGAAATAATTGGCAATGTTTGATAGGACCAAAAGCTTCAAATACAGATTTAATATCATTTTCTTCAATGTCTCGATGAATAGATGAAATATAAATCCGATTATAGTGTTTACTTTCTTCAATTATATTGTCAATGATTGATTGAGCTTGCGGCATATTGGATGGTCTTCCTACGACCTTGATGTTACGCCCGCCGATCATTACACCGTTCATTTGCTCAAGCGCCAGTTGTGCAGCTTCAGGTATATCATACTCTACAAAAGCAAATCCTTTGTGTTTTTGAGTCATTAAATCCCAGGACATATTGACTGACTTAATAGGTCCAAAAGGCATAAATGCTTCACGAACTGAGTCTTCTTTCAATTCAAAACTAATACTTCCCACGTAAATTCGACACATAAGAGCCAGAGCTTGCTGTCTCTGGACTTGGTTCCGTTGACTTGCCATTTGATTCTGCTGATGGGCCAAAGTTTGCTTCATTAAAACCATTTTGACGCTTTCTTTCATTGCATACTTTTTTGCTCTTTTAATTGCATCCTGATGTTCCGATGAGACTTTTGGTAAACTGGCGCCGATTATTCCGGGAAGAGTATGACTTTTAGCTACTGGCCCGATAACTAATGGACCAGTTTGATGAAGACATTCAAAGAGTTCTTGTATTACCAAGTTATTTTCCTCGATACGAGGCTTCTTCGCTGGCGGCTCTACGTCATTTTGTTCTGATGAAGCCGTCATTATTATATCAGTCATTTTATTTATGAAGTTACAAAATAAATCACTAAAAAATGGAATTTTATTAAAATTTTACAAATTGTTACTTTCAAATAAATTGCCTGATTAGAATACGCAAATAATGTTCAATTGTAAAACATTACTACAGCATAATCTCAAAATAAATAAATAAATAAATAAATAATTGTGCAAAGTAGTCTAATTTTTAAGTGATATTTGTTATTCCAAGTATAAATAATATTACTTACATAAACTGGAGTTAACCAACAAATTTATGATTCAAGATATTTAAATCCAATGATTAGTGATTGGTTTATTCTTCTATTACTTTGATTATTTTCTTCTTGTCATTGTTTTGGGTTTTAGGCAAAGACAAAGCACGTGTTGAACACCATAACATCTAAAATAGTAATCCCTGTTGTGCTAGCATCAACTAGTTCCTTTGCGCTTTTTAAATGAAATCAGCTGATCACTTTCAAATAGATACAGATGGCATCTTGGTTCTGCCCACTTGTGTTTCTCCAACGAAGTTCGTCTGAGCGCTATTTTCAAATAATTTTACTTTTAATAATAATTACTAACTTAACTGTTTATAAATTACACATTTATTTTAAAGAATCATTTTTTGGGAGAAGAAATAAATAATTAAATAATCGAATTAAAAAATAGAGGTTATAAATTTCTTACCCACATGTTAAATACTTTACTTCATTTTTGTGAAATAGAAAAAAAAAAAAAAAAAAAAAACAGACAAGTAGATTCAATAATAATTTTTTTGAACAAAAAATTAATTAAAATTTTTTAAATTTGCTATTACAAATTTTTAACAACAGTAAGTAGTTTAATGTGAAGAAAAAAATTTATATTTTTATGTAGCTTAATTACAACAATATATTAATTGTTAGGACATATCTATTCACACGTAAAAAAATTAAAAAAATCATGCCATCAAAGTTAGCAGTCGCTTGACCATTTAAAAATTTTTTTTAATAAATAAATTTACTCCAAAAAATTATTTCTAAAAAATTGCATTTTTTATTTTTTTAACTTTCTAAATGTCAATTTTTTCTCATTTTCTTTGACATAATTTATTTGTGGTAAAAAAATTCTTAAAATTATAAAATATCTGCTAAATTAATTTTCATAAAAAAATCCTGAAAAATCCACAGCGCGTCAATCAATCTAGCAATATTAATTTTGTCAGTAAAAAAATTAGTTGAAATAAAAATGACATTAAAGTTAGCAGTCATTTAATAATTTTTTAATTTTTTTTAACAAACGAATTTGTTCCGGAAATTAATTTTTAAAAAATTGCATTTTTTATTTATTTTTTTTTTTTTCAATTTCTACAGGTCAATTTTTTTTTCCTTTTTCATTGCCGTAATTTGATTGTTAAAAAAATTACTAAAATTTAATAAATATCTGCTAAATTAATTTTCATAAATAAAAAGAGTAACAAAATGTGATTTTATAGTTATGAAATAAACAAAAAAAAAGAAAGGTTAGAATTTTTTTCGAGTCAAAAGTTCTTATCCAATAGTGGTGTAATTTATATTATTGTTTATAGTAATACGTTGTAATTGTTTTTATTTCTAATCAATTATCACTATTTAAAATTATCACTATTTAAAATTTAAATATAATTTTTATTATATCGATTGCACAGTACATACCGACATTGGAGTTTACTTTTGTAAGCATAGCATGTGTATATACCAGTACACACACACTTACCGCTGTCATCTATACTACACACATTGAAAAAAAGAAAATAGTATCAGCACGTTTTTTAAATTCAATCCAATGTCAACATGGACGCTGTCATAAACGCTTTTTATTTTGTACTAGTCAACAAGACACTTTAATAAATCAATAATGAGAGATATTCTCATTTTTTATTATATTGAATAGAATGTAACTACAATTACAATTAATCGTTACCAGGATTTGTTTTTTTCATTACTAAAACAGTAATTATACTATAAACAACATGACATCTGACAAAGTAGGTTATATTTATTTCTTTATCAAACAAATTGTGATATTTGATTTTTCATCTTGAATTAAATTTATATTGCATGATAAATACAATATAAAAAATTATTTTATTTATACTTATACTAAATCAAACTCTTTTAGGTTCTTTATAAACTTGATCATCCTCATGGTCCTGGTAGTGTATTTATTTCTTGGAGACCCGGTAATAGTACGCATCTTGCTACAACTGGTTGCGATGGAGTTGTATCAATTTATGATAGACAAGGAGAAATTCAAGAACGTATACAATTGATGGGACTGTGTAGTGAATTTGGATGGGATGTTGATGGAGATATCCTGGCTGTCATAACAAATAATTCATCAACGATTATTTTGTGGGACGCAACAACTAACAAGAAATCTCAAATTGATGCTGGTGTACGAGACACATTAACGTGTATGATGTGGGCAAAACATGCTTGCATTCTTGCAGTGGGAACACAAAAAGGAAATCTTATTCTCTATGATCATTCTAATGCTAGGTATTGTTTAGAAATTTATAAATGGTTTTTGCAAATAAGTTATTAATTATATTTAGATGTGTTTAATTATAACAAAATAATTTTTTTACTCCAAGTTTATCTGTGGTGCGAATTATTAAAAAATTAATATCAAAGTAATCTATATTATTAAGAGAATAAGAAAAATTTTGTAGCCAGTGTATTTATATGATAAAATGGGTTTTTATAGTTAAATTTGGTATCATTAGAAAGGTCTTGACCTGGAGTTGTGCCTTTTCAAGGTTTCATATCATTCTCACCAATAGTCAATTTATGATGATAAGTATTTAGGCTGCATTTGAAAATACTCTATCTCTAGATACATAATTAAGAAATGACCTTGTATCTTGTGAACTATTGAGATTTTTAAAGATATAAGCTCATCCCGATGTTACACTCATCAAGACCTTTTATTTGAGTACCCACATCAATTTTTCATATATTTATATATATATTAATATTATATATATGTATATATGAAAAATGTATTAAAGTTCATGTGGGTACTCAAATGAAAACTCTCGATGAGTATAACATCGGGATGAGCTTATATCTTTAAAAACGTCAATATTTAAAAAAGTACAGTGCAATTTAATAAATATCTTGTGAAATGTTGACATTTTTAAAGATATAAGCTCACCCTGACATTACACTGATCGAGACCTTTCATTTGAGTACCCACATCATTTTTTCGTATATTTAAATATATTATATATATATATATGTATATATGAAAAATATATCAAAATTCATGTGGGTACTCAAATGAAAGCTCTTGATGAGTGTAACATCAAGATGAGCTTATATCGTTAAAAATGTCAATAATTAAGAACTGACTTTGCTATCTTGTCAACTAATGATCTTTTTAAAGATATAAGCTCATCCCGATATTATAATCATCAAGACCTTTTATTTGAGTACCCACATCAATTTTTTATATATTTATATATATTACATATACGTATATATGAAAAATATATGAAAATGCATGTGGGTACTCAAATGAAAGCTCTTGATGAGTGTAACATCGGGATGAGCTTATATCTTTGAAAACGTCAATATTTAAAAAAGTACAGTGCAATTTAACAAAAGTCATTGTTTAATAAATCAAAATTTTTTTTTTATTTATAATTCACAAGTCACCGCAGTCACATAGTGACTGCAAGGTTGTTAGTTTTACTTATTGTTTTTTTATTAATGTATTTATTTAATTATTTATAACTTATTGGATAAATAATTTTCTATTTTAAATTAATTCAATTAAATATTCCTTTGATTTATTTAACTATTATTAATAATTTCAGGCGGATTCCTATCTTAGGAAAACACAAGAAAAAAATAGTATGCGGTGCGTGGTCTTCAGAAGGTATTTTAGGACTAGCTGGTGAAGATAGAATTCTGACAATAAGTACAGCTGATGGAGACACACGACGAGAAATTCAACTACAAGGTGATCCACAGGATTTAAAATTTGGTGAAATGAAAACAGATAGTCGCACTAGCGGTGAAAATACAATATCTTTGATTATTGGAAAAGTAACATTATTACTTTACAATATTCGTGATCCAGACAATCCTATAGAATTAGCATTTCAAAAAAGATATGGACCAATAGTTACATATAAATGGTACGGAGATGGTTATATATTAGTAGGATTTGAAGCTGGATATTTAATATCAATATCCACGCATATTAAAGAAGTTGGACAAGAATTATTGCAAATAAAGAATCATCGTGATTCTTTGAATGATATATCATTGAGTTTAACTGCTAAAAAAATAGCCACTTGTGGTGACAATACGTTAAAAATACATGGATTACAAAATATAGAAGAAACTGAAAAAATAATTACAATAAGTGGCGAAGCTGCTGTAAACAGTGTTGAGTGGTCAGCTGATGGTACGATGATTGCAGCTGTAACTCACAGTGGCAATGTATTAATTTATCTTGCTCAAATACCTAAATTAACGAGCGTATGTGGTAATAGAATAGCATTATTAGCAAGCTTAACAGAAGTTATTGTCTATCTTTATACGCTAGATGGTGATAAACCGGAACCACAGACAATTCATACAATAATTGAACCGTCAATACTGTCAGTTGGCCCAACGCACGTTGCAGTTGCTGTGAATAATCGTGCACTTTTTTGGAATTTATCAGCGGGTCAAACTGATCGTGCTATTCATATTGAAAGAGATTATTTATCATCAGTTGAAAGTATATGTTTAAATGAAACTTATACTTCTGTATTATATGATGGTAAAATTCAATTACACACAATAAAAACAGATCCAGCATTAATTAAAGAAGAAAAAGATAATAAAGTATTTGCAAATCCCAGTTCATCGAACGGTAGAATAACGTGTCATGCTCTTTCAGCAGAATTCTTAGTATATGGTACGGATATGGGACGAATTGTTTATTTTTGTCTTGATGTATTTAATCATTCAACCGAATATTCTCAC